GCAGACTCTTTTGGGCCAGAATACAGGTCGAAGAGGGCTTTACATGACTGAGATGGAGCGTGCGCGACTTCCATGGACTGATGATGGTTTCCAGAGGGCGTTCCCGTCCACAAAGAACGTTATTATCAACGGTCTCTATCTAACGCAACAATTCCCTGGACTCTACGGAAAGACTGCCAACATTGGACGACTCCTCAGTGACAAGTACGAAGCGCTATTTGAGAAGTATGATGTCCTGGTAATGCCTACAACGCCGGTCGTTGCCCCTCGACATGGAAGGCGAGAACTCCCACTGGACACCCTTAAGCCTAGTATGGGTCTTACAATCAACACTGCCATCTTCAACGTGACTGGTCACCCAGCACTAACCATACCCGTCGGGCTTGCCCGGGCACAGGAAGATAACCAGGTCATGCTGCCAGTTGGGATGCAGATTGTTGGTGGATTGTGGCAGGAAGAGAAGATTCTGCGGGCTGGGCATACCTGGGAGACTCATTTTGATTGGAAGAAGATGCATTACTCTATAGATAAGAACTAGGCACCAATTTGCGTCTGTCGCATTCAAGAAAGCGAATTGATATCTTGTCTGTGGCATCAACATATAATTAGACCGTTATATATCCGCCATCAACCACCATGGCATGGCCCTGTATAAACGATGCCTGTGTTGAACACAAAAAAAGAATTGCATCGGCCACTTCCGCTGGCTGACCCATTCTCTTCATTGGTGCGGTCTGCACTGCTGGCATGATGGCGTCATGGACCTCCGGCTTCTCCATTACTAGTGGCGTTTCAATAACACCCGGACAGACACAGTTGACTCGAATTCCATTTTGGGAGTAATCGATCGCATCTGCACGTGTCATTCCAATGACAGCTGCCTTCGATGCGCAATATGCAGCTATCACAATATCAATAAGGTGTTCGCCTATAAAACGGCAAGACAACACTTACGAGCACCAGGGCGGCTGACAATACCAAGTTGGCTGGCAACATTTACGATAGCACCACGCTGAGGTAGACGAGTGACATCATGGCTAGGTAGTTCACTTTGTGTGACCATTTGCCTAAGCTCTGCGCGAGATGAGAGCCAGCAGCCTCGGTAGTTGATGTTATTGACGCGATCGAATTCTTCAAGTGATGTCTCTGCTGAGCGTAGAGACTTACCGAGAACACCTGCACAATTCACAGCGTAGTCTACTCGTCCGAATTCTTGCACAACTGCATCAATAAATGAATCTGCGAACCGGTCATCTGCCACGTTACCGGCCTTTACCAGTAGTCGAACTTCGGGATATTTTGATGTGATGTCTTCTGCCGTTTGGTGTAGAGACTTTTCATTGAGGTCAGTGATAGCGATTTGCTTACACCCAGCTGCAGCAAAGGCTTTTGTAGTCGCAGCGCCGATTCCTGTGTTATGTGAGTGTAGGTTAATGACTGATATTGATATTGTGGGTGTTTGACCTACCAGTTCCACCTGCACCAGTGATTACCGCAACCCCAGGAAACATATTGGCTGTCTAGACCATTTGGAACCAGAATAATCCGAATATCTCTGAGCATGCAAGTTATATACATCCCGAGGTCGCCTCCAAATATCAACCCCACCTTTATCGCTTATCGCGGGCCGAAAGGTCCCGGCGGGCCCCAAGTTGGAGCAGTTGGGGTCGAATCTCCCACGACATCCACTTCAACAAGGCATCATATTCTCCAAGTTCTCCATCCCCCAATGTTTCAATGTCCCCATCACCCCAGCCGCACAGGGGTGCGCGTGGAGCAAGGGCTCGTATCTGTATACACTGCGGTCGGAGTTTCCGACGGACTGAACACTTAGAGCGACACATCCGCACCCGTAAGTAATTTCCGGGGAAACCCCCGCAGCTAATGCTAACTCGGTAAAAGACACTAAAGAGAAGCCATTCATTTGCTTCTGTGGGGCGGCCTTTACTAGAAGGGATCTATTGAAGCGTCACACGCGCATCTCACATCAAGATGGCTTGACCTCACCAACACCGCCCGAGCCAACGAAGAAGGAGGATTTCCAGCCAACGCATCCGCCTGCATCGATCCCCCCGGAATATGATACATCAAATAGATCCGTACCCGTGCCACCCCTTGCAGGATCATCGGCTGTGCACCAATGGGCTGGGTCACAGAACACGCCCTATTTAGACCAGCACCACAATGCTGGCATGATTCCGGTTGCCACTGCAGGAGCTCCACACCCTGCCATTGATCCTCATACCGGGATGGTACATGATCCGGATATGCTTCAAGCTGCCCAGTTGCTTCTTCCGGGCGATTACAGACCTACAGGTGCGTTTTTTATAGCTGCTCAAGTATATACTTTTTAATACCCCATGCAACATGGAATATTCGTTCCCTCTCGCGATGATCTTTTGCTTTGACGCCGATTCTTGGAGATCTATTGATCTGACACAAAAATAGCACAACCGATGCCCTACTTGCCTGAAGATTTGAATCATTTCCAGGAATTCACCCATTTCTTGGATTCCATTGGCTTGCCCGGGGAATGGGTTCCCAGCGAAGGCGAAACATCTCAGACACAGGAGGTTAACCTGGAAGACGTGAGAGAGGCAGATCGACATACCCAAGAGCACCATGAGCGGCCACGACGAAGTGGAGAGGGTTCTCGGGGAGACTCACCATTCAGATCCTGGCTTCCATCTGTGCCGAGGGGCGATCAAAGCCTAGGGACCCTGTCTGATTCTGGTATATAACACCTTATGTTGCTATGATTTTGTATATCACTGACAACATTTCAGAACCACCGCAAAACGCGAAGAGGCCGTCACATTTCAATGTCACTGAAGACCAAAGGTTTCGGCTTGCGGCATCTCTCGAAGAATTTCGCCATGTCATTCCGGACTTCGTACTGCCGTCGCGTCACACATTGACTCGGTACCTCACATCCTATTTTGAAGGATTCCACCCACATCTTCCGTTTATGCACATCCCAACTTTTAATATCAATGAACGCGCCCCTGAGGTGGTTCTTGCTATCATGACGATCGGAGCTCAGTATAGATTTGAGCATCGCAACGCAGAAAGAATATTCCACGTCTCCAAGGCAGTTTTGTTTGAACGGATGTCCAGAGAGCCTCGTTTCCCAGCCAAGCCAAGTTACAATTCAGGCTCCCAAGTGCCGCTGGGGATATCTCCTTATTCCAACTTTGGCGATCAATCCCTTACACAACCACAGGTGTCAGTGGAAAGAACTGCTGTTGGGAAGCAGATTGAAATCACACGCTGTCTCCTTATTCTGATGGGCTACTCCACGTGGGAAAGTGCTAGACTGGTACAGGAAGCATTCCATCTTCAGGGCTTGTTGGTTCGACATCTCCGTGAGGCTGGCCTGACAGAAGACACAACACGTTCTGATCTACGCGCACCGCTCGATTGGTACGAATGGGCGGACCAAGAATCCGCCAGACGCACAAAGTTGATTGCATTTTGCTTCATCCATGTTCACAGCATCGCATACAATGCTTATCCATCTCTGCGCAGCAATGAGATACACCTGCGTCTTCCATGTTCCACCATGGAATGGACCGCTAGTACCGCTGCAGAATGGGAAGCATCCCAGCGAGAACGAGGCCCCCAACAGCTGTTCTTCCAAGACGCATTGACACTCCTCTTGCAAAAGTCCCGATCAGCCATACCACTAGACCCCATCCCATCGCCATTGGGTAACTATATCCTCTTGCACGGACTCCTGCAACGAATCCACCTCGTGAGCGAGCTATCGTTACCAAACGGCAACCAATCCACAACCCTCCCCACAGAGGAACTGAATAAACTAGAGCAAGTCTCCTACTCACAAATATTCCCCAAATTCATATCTAACAATATAATCCACAGACGAGCTCTCCGCTCCTGGACCTCCGTGTGGCAACAAGCCCCAGAATCCAGTCTAGACCCGCACAATGCAAACGGTCCAATCCCCTTCACCTCCAGTGCATTCCTGGGGCTCGCATACGTCCGCCTATCTCTAAATCTCGGTCCTCACCGCCGCCTCGAGACCCGCGACCCGAGGATAATAGCAACTGCACTCCGCCGCTCTCCACGCCCAGAACGAAGCTACCGTCTCATCCCGGCACTCATATACGCCGCTCATGCCCTCAGTATTCCCGTGCGGCTGGGCATAGACCACATTGCTCGCAGTGAAGCCTTCTTCTGGAGCGTGCGACACTCGCTGGCTAGCATTGAATGTGCAGTGTTGCTTAGCAAGTGGCTATTCACCCTTGCCGAGGCGGGACCGGATCAGTCCTTGAGTGGTATGTCCATATCCTGCCTGCTGGATGTGATTTATCAGCTAACAATTATGATGCAGAAAACGAAACTCGCATTCTACGCTGGACCCGCTGTATCATCGAAGAGGCGTATTCGTCTATTGATACGGATGACGGCGAGGCACCGCCAGATCTGGAACCGGCTTCTTTGGGATTGGCTGTTCTGAAGTTGTGGGCTAGGTTGTTTGGGACGAATACTCAGTGGCCGTTTATTAATGTTCTTGGACAAAGTTTGGAAGAGTATATGTCTATGATTTGATGTTAACACTACGTCTTTGGCGTTTGTGTATATTGAACCTTTTTTGAACATAATGTATTCATGATCTCATGATCCCCAGGTGGATGACTCTGACTTGTATCTATACCTAGCCTTGCAAGGCCTTTTTGGAGTTGCGTTTCCGAATCTTCCAGTTGAATGATCTCAAATGAAAAGATTCAACCTATCTATGAGTAGATATTCAAATAATGAGCATATACGGGTAAGGTGGGAATAAATTCTCACTGGCTGCATTGAATTGTAGCTAAGTAATGATTCAAAGCCATACATCGATGCTCGTAGATATGGTACATCACCGTCTTTTTGTGCTTTTCTACTTTCCCTTTTCATCAATTCAGATTTCAACCCTTGTTCCTATTCTCCAAGCCCGGCAAGGCAAAGACCATAGCAAAAGGCCATCTACTGCCGATCTAGGAGAGCTCGATCAGCTCCCCCTCCGCGGGAGAAAACAGCAGTTCATCGGCCATAGGAGTGGGCGAAACGTCGGCTACACTTAAACTGCCAGCCAGGTTATCCTCATCCCTAATTGAAGCAGCAAGCAGGTCTACCTCGAGATTGTGACCTCCAACCCGACAGTGATAAATATCTTCGAAGGCGATCAGATCCTGGACGAGGGAAGTGGGAAGCTTGTTTTTCAGTTCATTCGTAGCTTCAGCTTCGCCATCACCAGCCCCGTGATATGTAGCCATAGCTTCCTTGGCCGGAGCAGTGTGCTGGTCTTCCCCCTTACTTGGAACTTCAGCTTCAAGCTTATCATCGTCGTCGAAGTTGATTAAGTCTCCTTCGACCGGACCAGCGATGTTATCCTGGACTGGCGTAGTATCTGCTCGAGGACTTTTACCTCTAAATGGAAATTCAGACCGACGATTATCGCTAAAATGGATCAGGTCTCCTTCAACTGAGGCATCGACATTCTTCTCAACTGGCGTATCATCTTCCTGAGGACGGTTTCCTCTAATATCGAGCTTAGCCCGGCGGTAATCATCCACTATGGCGCCACCCTGTGCAAACACCTGCCATCCTCGTACACCATTGGCAAACGGCGATTTATCTTCGTCGTCAGCAAAGGCAAAGGTAGGGGTGCGGGTTGGGGCTCGGGGTCGGGTGATTGGACCGATCATTGCGTTCTGATCATCATCTTCACCGACATCATTCCAGTCTGCTCCGGCCTCAAAGACCTGGGTTTTCTTTTCCTTGCCCATACCACAGAAGCAATCATGGGTGTGTGGTGGAGAGCACACACAAATGCATGGCTTGTTGCAGCACTCGCGAATCTCACTGCAGCGCTGTTTGCAAGACACCCAGTCATGTTCAGAACTAATGACACAGGATATTAGTATCTGGCAAGAACTATCATTACTTGAAACTTACCCATGGCATTTACGGGGACACGCGTGTCCGCATGGCAGATCCTTGCCACAGGGCTTGCTGCAACCGTCGCTGATAGCGTTCCAGTCTTTGAGAGCTGGTAGATATAATTAGATTCTTTGTTTATTTTTCATTGGTATTGCCAGGTCATGGGAGGGACTCACTTTCAATTAGGGTGTCTTGGTTGTGTCTTGCACAATACAGGGGGAGAGCCGGGCCCATACGAGGGTCTTGTTGGTCTTCGGACATGGCATTGGTAACTGCATTCCAGAAACTACTGTGTTTGCTAACACATTGCCCGTTCCCAAATATATAAAGACCGTATTTGGCGCGGGACAAGGCAACGCAGATTCTGTTGTCCTGTTCGAGAAAGCCGATACCTCGATGATAATTCGATCGAACAAGCGAGAGGATTACAATATCATTCTCTTCTCCTTGATATGAGTCAACAGTCAATATATTGACGTACGACTGGGCGATGTTGAGATTCTGTGCCTTCTTCCGCATAATCAACTTCCTTTGCCCATTGTAGAAAGTCAGGACAGTGATACTGGTTGCTGGGACTTTGTTCATCACAAGGTAGGCAAGGAGATTGACCACCATTGATGCCTCAAAGTCATTCACCTTGGACAATAGACTATCGGCACTTTCCTGTGAGGTGTGGTCGAAGAAAAAAGATCGTTTCGCTCCCATACCAGGAACCAAAGGGTGATTCTCAACAGACGGATGATCACGCAGACAATTCCCATAGATGGGAGCCACAAGCTTTCGGATTTCTGGCACCATTCGTCTTTGCTCTTGAAGCATGGCGTATGGTATCTTATTTATCACCAAACGCTCAAACATGGAGACATCGAGGTAGAAAGGGTGGCCACACAGTTCATGGTCGGCACACTGACCTTTGAGTTGCAGATGATCGCCAACAAGAATGAGATGCTGAAGTGATGGTAGACAAGCAACTGCAACTGGGGCTTCAAGCACTTCTGCTGCCTCTTCAATCAAGATAACCCTGGGATTCAAGCTCGAGACCAGTCCTCTGTATTTGCTCAGACCAGTGGTGGTCATGCCGATGATCCTCGCCTCCTTGAGAATACAATAGTCCCGCTCAAATCTACCAATTTGGACATTGGTGGAGCAATCTCTGTAACTTTGAGCGAGGCGATGCACATGTTCTCCGAGGATAGCGATCAGCTGCTTGCGTATGTAGCGATAAACAGCACCACGATATCTCTTGTGAATGTTGTAAAGGTCCTTCTCTTTCAGCAAAATTTCGACCGTTGCCAGAGAGATTTTCCCCTTATTGGAGCCGCAAAGACCAGGCGACAACGGGAAAAAGCGGGTTTTGAAATCCAACCAGTCATCCTCATATCTTCCATGTTCGACTTCGATCTCCTTCAGTTGCTCATACTCCCGGTCAATATCGTCATCGATAAATCCAAAGTCACCCACGTAATTGTAATCAAAACCCCTTACGGAGTCTGTAAGCCAAGCCATCAAAGGATTGGCGTTTGCAGAGGCATTTGATTGCTGCCATTTACGTGCGACTTCTTCCAAGGAATCAACCTGCTCTTGGCTCAAAATGCCGTGCTCTCGAAATAGAGATGTTGCAAGAGGCTTGCTGCTGTTCGATGGCGCAAATGGCCCTAGGAGCTTATCAATCTCACCTGCGAGTTTGTTCTGTTTCTTTATCATTGGAGTTAACAGACCTCCCTCAATTTTAAATAGACCCTGGGTCTGTCTGATCTCATAAGGGGTGCGCTTGCGAATTTCAGGATCGGTAGTTCTTCCACCCAGCCGGACATAGTTCTTCTCAAAGACCGAGATATGCTTAATCAGTTGATCGAGCGCATAGTTAGTTTGAGCTGCGATGACAATAGGTGGATCATTTGCCCCTTTGTTTGAGAGCATGATCTTTAAAGCAGCAATGGAGGTAAAGGTCTTGCCTGTTCCAGGAGGACCCTGGATGATGGCCAGCTTTTTAGTTAACATTCGGTTCAGGGCTGACCATTGGGATGCATCTAGCTTTCCCATTGGTTGGGAGGGCCATCTCTCAAGGATGTCGTACTTTCCAGTGATGTCGAGTGCAGAGAGTTCGGACAATGGCGTGAAGTCCATGCGTGGCGCAGTGTTGACGTATTCCGGTGCATCAATATCTCCTGCGAAGCTGCAGATTTGTTCGTTCAACGGAAAACTAGATAAGGTCAGATATCCCTTTCAAATATATTACTGTTTTGTAGCCTGACCTTTCCTTTGACAACTTTTGCAGTGCTGTCAGGGTGTGTCGATTTGCCTCGAAATATCCCGCTCGAGCTTCCACCATGATCCATTCTTGTCTAGTTAGACATAATAATTAGTATAATCATAATTTTCAAAAACACACCAACATAGATCTGCTCACTGTGGGTCGATATCAATATCGTCGGGCGAGGCTAAGAAGATATCAATCTCGGGGGGTCTTTTTCGACCCCTTCCAGCAGCCGACAGGCCACGACGGCAACAACACATTTGCTCAAGAATGCATTTTGCTTTGTGGTTAGAGCAACGACTGTTCCAGGATTAAGGCGGTTAGAGTACGTCCAGGCAATATTTTTACCCGCGCGGCGAGTAGAGAATTGGATGTGCAACGCGAACCCCGAGCGGGCTAGAGTAATACCAATAACGAAAACCTTTGATGTAGAAGAATGTGGATCAGGAATCTGCATTGCCAAATTCAAGAATGTCCAATGGAAGAAGAGTACTTACCTTCTCATAGATGGAGATGCCCGGAGTATCTCTCATAAAGGGATCGGCGCGGACCCGGCCCACGGCATTTCGAAGTGGTGCAACCGAGTCTTCTCGGATCAATGAATAATGGGCCTCTAGGTATCTCTCCTTGGAAACCCAAGGTCCCGAAATGCAGTTGGGGGCAAGTGCAACAACGTCTCCTGGTACATCTGTCCCGAGGATTTCTTCGGGCGAAGGAAACTCTGGCTTGGTTTGCCAAAGTTTCCAAGGGCCATAAATAGGTAGGTCCGGGTCATAGTATCCGCGGATGTCCTGGTTGGCAGGCTTGGCCTGTTCCTTGGGCTGGTGACCATATTGAAATCGAAAAGGGGGCATTGCTGTCTAAAGGATTCGCGGGGTTAGTCCATATATGTTGAATAGATCGATCAACCTCACCAAGGTACTTTCCTACAATGAATGGTCCAGGATTTTTACCCTTTGAAAATACCCGAATTCATTCCGCGTTCCAAGCAAAAGTCTTTACGAAACGGGTGAGTTTGTCAGGGGAAGTGGAAAGTTGATAGCGGGGGAGCGGAAAGATGATGAAGGAAGGATTGAAGTCGGATCGAGTGCAGAATATGTGCCAGGTGGACGAAGTTGAATGAGATAAGACGAATGGTGATCATCTGTGTTTCAATATGAGTGAGGTGCAGGTGAGAAGCGACTGAAGTGCACAAGGAAGTAGGAAATGAATGTTTGCTATATCTGATTTACTGCTACCACTACAAACGTTGTATTGCATTCTAATGGATCCATACCTGAAGAGGCTCATGGTCCATAGATCTTATAGATATGGTCAAACCTCTTCTATGAGAATATCCACATTCGTGGTCTCTCTTACGTATGATGGATTTTAGGCCGAGCGTTTCCCTTCCTGTTTAGGTGTTTAGGTGATATGTAGCTTCTAGAAAGGATTTATTTTTTGAATACGAGATATATATTTTGAGTAATGTAATTTTCAATACGATGATAATGTAGGTTTTTCGATTTTCTTGAAATTGGTACATATATCCCATTCAATAGCCTTATTAATAGCTATGACGACAATTAAACCAGATAATCTATAGTTTATATAGCCGAAATAGGAAATCCACAGTAAAATTATACCAGCAAGGGACTATAGGAGTTATATAAGTTACATGCTGTGAGAATTCATGGCTTTTAACTTTTTCAACTGTGATATCATTTCCGTCCTCTCGCATTACGATGATATTACCGGCACCAGACAATGGGAACAATGAAGAAAGGATGAATGGTCCCGGGAAAGGTTTCAGACAGTATACTTCCATTCACTATTTGTCGAAACAGATTTTCCTAAGCTCTGTTGTTGGCCGAAATCTACGCCACGACCGTGATCAAATACAGAGACAAATTTTTACAACTAGAACATGAGGACCTGTGGGATTGAGGAAATGACCGCTTTTAAGGCCAGAAACGGCTGCCTTTCCACCCGTGACTTTGGACGTCCAGCCGTGTGATCCCCTAAGGCTTGCAGGGCTTACGTGATTAATGCCTAAGGCAGAGAGGCACTTGTCAAGTATGTGCCGGGTATTCGCTAGGACGTGGATTATGTAATTTTAGTCTACTTGACCGCACTTAGATATAACCAATGACAACCATGCGATTCTCTTAGTATCTCATCTGGTAGCATGTCATGTTATGGCCTTATCTTCTATGGTAAGCTGCCGAAGATGAGCGCATGCTACGGCTTGTGCTCGTCTTCCCAGCCCTGAAGCAGACACCACTTCAGGGGCCGGGCAAGCGAGGAAGCCGGGATGAGCTTGCCAGCTCACGCCTGCCCTCGACTTGCCACACCGATCCTGGGTCCTCAAGGAACCCACCGTGTGAACCAGAAAGCACCTTTAATGGTAGCGAGGGCACACGGGGCTTCCTGGTATACTGAGGATCAGCATCGCCGAGAGAAAAGCGGAGCCTCTCGGCTGGAATAAAGAAGGAAGCAAGTGAGGATTATCAATTACTAGAAAGAAACAAACCCTTCTTTGAACTCCTAAGAACCGGCACCAAGAAAACGTCCAGCCAGAATGAACCACCTTAACGAGCAAGTCCCGCAAGCGGAACAACAGCAACATGGGGTCCCGTTCTACCGGACCCTGGGCCCTACCGAGCAAGTAGCCTTTAACCGCTTACCACCTATCGTACAAGGCATCAGCTTGTTCAGCATGACGCCTATGGATACGAACCATCGGGCCCTTCAGCATGATACGCTGATAGCGATGGCGATGGCGCAGAACCCTGCCCCGACAGCCCGAGCGGAGCAGATACACTTAGGCGTCGGGAATAAGCTGAAAGATATCCCGAAGCCGGAGAAGTATCGCGGTTCCCAGCAAGGCAATGCTGCACGCCACTGGCTGCGTGACTGCGAACGTTATTTCGAGACACGCGCTGAACTTACTGGGGTGGACGAACCCGATGCTTATAAAGTTATCATCGGCCGCACCCACCTTACGGAAGCAGCTTTAGTCGCCTGGCGTGGATTCGAGGTGGCCGTGGAAAGCGGACACATGGAGCGTATCGCAAGTTAGGAGGATTTCAAGTCATGGATCCTCGATAACTTCGAAGCCAAGACTGCGGAAGCTGATCGCTACCGATTATATATCAGCCGCTTACAACGGGGTGATAACTTCCCGGATTACTTCCGCAAGTTACAGGAAGCGTCGCTAAACTTACTACGCCCTGCGGACTCCTACAACTTCATCCTCCAACTAGTGTCAGGACTCAACCAAGAACTCCGTGCCGAATGGTATAAACTACAGAATCCGCCGACAGAGGTGACAGAGGTGTATAACCGCCTAGTCGAGCTAGAACGGGGTTACAAGGAAGCAACCAACACGAGAGCAAACCGCTTCCAAACACGGGGGAGAGGCCAACAAGCAAGCCACCCTCCCTCAAACGAAGACGCAATGGATTTATCACTCATAGAGAATAAGCCAAACTCCTTTATGTGTTACCACTGCAATAAACCCGGCCACTTTAAACGTGACTGCCGAAGCCTCAAGAAAGAGGGAAAAGCGGAGGGTCAGTAAGCATTAGCAAGCTTAGTGACCCTTTAGAGAAGCCGCCCCGGCCTAATAAAACCGGTGACGATAAAAGGATTCCTCGACTTACTACAGTCGAGATGGACAGCCAACCCCCAGAGGTTAATGACCCGTCAGAGGGTAGAAAAGAGATTCCTCGACTTACTACAGTCGAGATGGACAGCCAACCCCCAGAGGTTAATGACCCGTCAGCGGGTAGAAAAGAGATTCCTCGACTTACTACAGTCGAGATGGACAGCCAACCCCCAGAGGTTGATGACCCGTCAGCGGGTGAAGAAGAGACTCCTCGACTTACTACAGTCGAGATGGAAATCCAGCCGCCAGAGGCTGATGCCCTGCTAGCTAGCCAGCCTAAACAGGAAGAGGAAGCCTCCATGCGGTTAAATTCCCTTAGGGATGAGTTAAATTACTTCGACGGAAAGGTTCAACGAACGGCGCTGACGCGCGCTATCGCGGTCCGAATGCTTCTAGACTGCGGAGCAAGTCACACATTCGTATCACTTACTGTGGCGGAGCGTGTTAGCGGCCGATGGGACTTAAGTAGGTCCCTGCCGGTGGCCCTCCCGAATGGCGAGAGACTGCATACCCGAGGAAGTATGCGTCTAGAGATCCATCTCGGCGAGTGGGCCGGTAAGAAGGAAGTCTGGGCGATTGACATTAAAGGATACGACGTTATCCTCGGAAATGATTTCTTAAAAGAACATAGTCGATACGTCAGCTTCCCGGAACATAAGATGTGGCTCGGGGAAAAACGGACTATGGTACAAGGCGTCGATACGAGGGTCTTAGGACGACAGCAAGTAGGCAGCCTTAACTTACTGTCTAAAAAGGACTGCCGACGCGCAATGCGAGACGAACAAACGCAGATAGTCCTTTTCACGGCCAAAGTGGAGACCCTGGAAGAAACAGCAAGTGACCCGCGCATTAGGGCACTCCTGAAGAGATATCAGGACGTTTTTCCAGAAGAACTTCCCCGAGAAATGCCCCCGAAACGGGCATACGAACATAGAATAGACACAAAGGGCGCAGACCCTGTGAACCAGTCCGCCTACCCATTATCGGCCGACAAATTAGCGGAGCTGAAGCGGCAAGTGAAGGACTTACTGGACCGTGGGCTTATTAAGACTTCGTTAAGCCCATGGGGATTCCCGGTTATCTTCGTTAAGAAACCGGAAGGAGAGTGGCGTATGTGTATTGATTACCGCGCACTCAATGAACTCACAGCCAAGAATGGCTACCCACTTCCCCGGATCCAAGACTTACTGGATATTATTAGCCGAGCTAAATATCTGTCGAAGATCGACTTAGCGTCGGGCTACTGGCAAGTCATAATGGCAAATGAGTCGGTAGGAAAGACGGCTTTTAATACCATCTGGGGGAAGTATCAATGGCGGGTGATGCCATTCGGGCTGTGTAATGCACCCGCGACCTTCCAGACAATGATGAACGAGACGCTGCGACCGTTCCTCGGAGAGTCGGTAGTGGTCTATCTCGACGATATCCTCGTCTTCTCAGAAAGCCTGGAAGAGCATTACCACCACCTGGAGTAAGTGCTAGAATGCTTAAGGAAGCAGAAGCTGTACGCGAAGCCAAAGAAGTGCGTTTTCGCTACCAAGGAATTAGAGTTTTGCGGCCACATCCTAGGCGATAGGAACCTCCGCCCGATCCCTAAGAAAGTGGAGATCATTTCGTCATAGCCCCGACCTCAGAATGCTCACGAAGTAAGAAGCTTCCTTAGGCTTACCACATACTACCGACGTTTTATAAAGTCGTTCGCAAAAATCGCCGGACCGCTAAGCGACTTACTGAAGGAAGAGGACGCAGAGGTGCGCAAGCAACGCTATCGGCGCATCCATTAGACGGAGGCGTGTGAGGTCGCATTTCGAGACCTAAAAACGGCGATGGTGAATCACCCCGTCCTAGTGCAACCGGACGTCGGCAAGTCATTCACAATTAAGTCTAACGCCTCCGAATGGGCGATTAGGTATGTCCTTAACCAAGTCAGCGAGGATGGCAAGCTACACCCGGTCGCATTTAACGGCCGCAAGCTTAAAGGAGCAGAGTTAAATTACCCCGTACAAGAGAAAGAACTACTTACTGTGAAAGAAGCCCTACGCACCTAGGACCGATTTATTAACATCGACAATGGTGTACCAACAATAGTGATCACAGACCATCAAAGTCTCCAATACTTAGCGACAACACGCGTCTTCAGCAAGCGGCTTACGCGGTGGATCGAAGAATTCCAGGATAAACATATCAAGTGGAAATACCGCCCTAGGAAGGAAGCTATCGTCCCAGATGCGATTAGTCGTCGGCCTGACTTCGTGGAAAGTGTCTCTGCCAGCGTGGCGCAAGACCAGCAACCCTGGGCGGCTCTCTCCTTAATGACAACTGTCGGAGGACTTAACGAGAAAGAATGGTATACGGCCACGATCCGCTACTTACTGGAGGGCACGCTGCCTAAGGATGCTCAACTACGCCGATGGACCAGGCAGTGGTCACAGAACCTAGTGACCGTAAAAGCCACCCTGCCGATGAGAGCAAGTCGAGAAGAGAACACTCGCTTACTATATCGGTACCCAGACGGGAGTACGGCACCATACATGGAACCCCAGTTTCGAGAGGAATTCCTCCGGAAAATGCATGGAGAATATGGTCACCTCGGTTACCCCGGCTTACAGGGCGTAATAACCGGCCGTGGATGGTGGCCATCATTACGGAAGGATATCGAGGAAGTGGTGCGGTTATGCCCTAATTGCCAAGTATCAAAGAAACGTCAACTTACTCTCGAACGGGAAGCCGCACATTACCTAGCAAGTACAGGTATCAGACCGTTCGAGCGATGGGGCATAGACTTAATCGGCACACTTCCTACGACACCTAATGGCCACCGTTGGATCATCACAGCCATTAACTACGCCACAGGGTGGCCGATAGCTGAACCATTAAAAGAAGCAACTCAGGAAACAATCGGCGGATTTATCCATGAGAAGATCTTCACCCAGTTTAGAGCACCAAAAGAAATCCTCACAGACAATGGGGCGAACTTACTAGCAGCAGGGGTGACCTACTATATCGGCTTACTAAAGAGTAAACACCGCCTGACGACGCCATACCACCCTAGAACCAACGGGAAAGTTGAGAACCTCAACGGCTTACTAGGAAGGATGTTATCCAAGTATCTGATGGGTAAGCCAACTCGTTTATGGGACGAGTACTTACCGCAAGCACTGTTCGCAGCGAGGGTCCGCGAGCATGCTACTACCGGCTCTAGTCCTTTCTATCTGGTGTATGGACAAGCACCCTGCCTCCCTGGAGACGAAATCGGAATACAAGAAGGAGACAGTGTCGCCGAACTCGACCGGCGGATACTTGCCGTGAATCATGCTCGCTCAAAGGCGAACGAGGACTTACTGTATAAAGCCATTCGCGCCGCGAAGATCCAGGATGAGAACGTTACACATAAGCATGGTTCACTTACTGTGGGGACCTAGGTCTTAGTACGCAACGAGGCGAGGCAGAAGTTCGAGTCTAACTGGTTCGGGCCGTACAGAGTGATCAAGGCACACCCGCTTGGCACATACGCGCTTACTGAGCCCGGAGGGCGCGTATTACGCAACCTAATTAACGGCAGGCGCCTGATACAGGCGCACATCTCGGACCCAAACGAGATGTGGACAACCTCAGGTGGCAAGTGGCGTCTACGACGCCAAGGCGAGAGACTGATTCATCCCTTCGACGGCCGAGAAGCGATTAACAAGGACAGCGAGGCTCCCCCAAGTTACCTCGAGATGTCGACGATTTCGCGGAAAGAGTGGGACGAGATGATTCGTACCGGCGTACGAACACGTTTGGTGGGGGAGGGCGAGAATATCCAACACATGAGAAATCGCGCGACGCAAAAAGCGAAGCGGAAACCTGCCCAGCAAGCAGAAGAGGTCCCCGAGACGGACTTACAACGAGATCCTGCCCAACAAGCAGAAGAGGTCCCCGAGACGGACTTACGAGATCCTGCCCAACAAGCAGAAGAGGTCCCCGAGACGGACTTACGAGATCCTGCCCAGCAAGCAGAAGAGGTCCCCGAGACGGACTTACAACGAGAACCTGCCCAGCAAGCAGAAGAGGTCCCCGAGACGGACTTACAACGAGAACCTGCCCAGCAAGCAGAAGAGGTCCCCGAGACGGACTTACGAGATCCTTGTTGTGGTGGTCGGAGCCTTGGTGCCTCAGGCATCAACCCTTGCTAGATAGATAGTTTGGGAGCTCGCTCCTCTTGACGAATACAACTCTCTCCCTCCTCTCTTGCCGGACCCCACTACGTAGGTTCCACCAGGTTATGAGCACCTTATCTTACCCGCTATCATCAATTTTTTATCAAGAAAAAGGAGGCATTTATCAAAAACATCAATTTCGACCGCGCAGAGAGAGTCGCGGCACACAACGACTGGATAGGGCGAGACCCACAGCGGGAGACCCCACCTTTCATCAACCAACCAACCAATAAACGACGAGTCCGAAGTACAGCATCTATCGTGATAGTCGCCGTTTATCATCAACAAGGAGTCATCAACAAAGCGTACCTCAATACCAAGCATTTCTCACAAAAAGAACCAACCAACCAAAATGGCAAGGCCTCTCTGGGGACCAGGATCCGTGGGTGGTAAAGACTGGACAAGCGTGGAGGATGCCGATCAGACCACTCTGGGTGGTGATCAGGGAGAGGGACTACCAGAAATTGGCAGTTTCGTGCTCTACAAAATAGAGCCGCCGCTAAAGGAAAAAGAGGACTTCGACACTTGGTTAGACACGGTCACCAAGATCCTTCAGGGTCACAACCTCCACCGGTTGATTAACAAAGAGGTTGAAAAGCCAGACAGAGACTCCGAAAATGCAGAGAAGTGGATGAAAATCAGTATGCAAGTGAGAGCATGGCTCCGCGCTGGATTAGATCCCGAGATTGCAAAGGATATCACGTCAACTGGCGAAAGAACCACCTGGGCAGATGACTTTATGCAAGTTTGCAAGAAGCAGCTACGGGGTGAAGGACACGGAGCGTTAAGCGCAGCAATAATACGCTTCGTGCGCACAAAAAGAGAAGAGTTCTCAACAACAACTGAGTTCATACAGGCGATGAAGACACGATTCGTCACAGCAAATGACCTCAAAGCATCGTTCTGTGCCTATCACGCCATTGTGCTTATGGTAGCGCAACTCTATGAGATCCCAGAGCTCCGAGGATCCATTGAAATCAAAAACAACGAACTGAAATCGATCGTGGATCCAGCAATGACACTGACCACTAATGACTTTTTCAAATACTGTCAGGAAATGATCGATAAAATCAAAGAGATCCGCCTTAATGAGGGACTCGCAGCAAGCGGGACGAACCGGAACCGACAAGCAAAATCCGACAAGAAGGACAGACTGATGAATGCTCCACCAAAAGGGAAAAGCATCAAAGACCACATAAAGGAGTGGAGGAACCACAAAGTGCAACGGTCAACAAATGGAGCATGTTCCTACTGTGGAACCAATGGTCATAATGCCAAGGATTGCTACCACCTCGTACGAGAAGATCGCCCTGCAAGTTAGAAACCAAAGCCTGGTCTATGGTACTACAAAACATACCAGGAATTCAAGGAGGATAAGAGCCAACAATTCACAGGAAAACCCTCAGAAAGGACAAAACAAGCGAATTTCGACGCCGTCGCCACGTCAGCAACCGCTAAAGATGATGACATATACGACTTCTCAGGAGCAGCAATTACTAAAGAAGGAGTCGCATTATCTGGACTAGCAAGCAACACACGGCAGCTCCGGTCAGGAATTGATTGGGTGCTGGACTCCGGTTCTTCATGGCATATCTGCACAAACAAAGACCTTTTCGTCACCTATACCCCTTACAAACCAGGAACAGCAACCGGTTAGGATAGCAGCAATGGTCAATCAGCAACAGCAGAAGGACACGGAGACATCATACTCCCAATCAGGAAGCCGTCAGGAGGCAGATTCGAACTAAGGATTCACTGCGAGTACAAACCAGGAAATAGGTTTAACCTCCTTGGTCTTATGAAAGCAAAGAAAGACCTAGGAATCACCTGGAACATTAAGAACATAACGTTAGTTCGTCAACAGCAAGTAATCGGCTACACGTTTATTGCAAAGAACGTGCCATTCATTGAACTCGCTGATGAACCAAACCCTATGGAAAGCACTGACCAGCAAGCAGAAGGACTCGCCTATGTGACAATCCCTGCGGAGCTAGCACACAGAAGACTAGGCCACGCAGGAAGTTACAAAGGGAGAATCAACAAAGAGAAACTGGGATACGATATCGGATCAGAGCACTTCGACTATGAACCCTGCGGAAAAGGAAAGTCGAAGAGAATAGTCTCTCGAACCGAGCAAGTGAGAGCAACAAAAGTCGGCCAACTCCTACACGTAGATCTCCATCCAGTGAAACCAAAAGGCATAAGCAAAGAAGGCAAAAACGATAGAGAGTATGCGATGGTCATCACAGACGACGCAACACGATTTCGCATAGCAATATGCATTGCTAAGAAAAGCGACGCCTCTCAGCACCTTCAAAAATGGACAAAGCAATTCAAGGAGCACGCTGGATACAGTCCTACAGAATGGAGACTCGACAACGGCAAGGAATTCTCACGCTTTATCACCTGGGCGAAGGAGCAGTCAATGATTATCAGTCCCTCAGTCCCGTACGCACACGAACAGAATGGTGTGGCAGAGTACAGTGGTCATTATTTGATGCAAATCGCGAGGACTATGCATATCGACGCGAGTGCTCCAAAGGAACTATGGACAGAGGCGATCAACACTGCCGCCTATATCACAAATCGACTCACTCGCTCAGGGGGTGAAGCACCAATCATCTCATGGAGAAAAGCAATGAACCTTCGAGGAAGTGAGGAGATAAATCTATCATTCCTCCGGGTATGGTACTCAAAGGCATACGTGAATAACCCCAAAGAAACCCGAGTTCAAAGCGCAAAAATGGACCCAAGAGCATAGATCGGATATCTCGTAGGATACGAGGGTGATAACGGTCATTGCTACAGGATTTATAATCCAGAAACCAAGAAGATCACAATCCATAGAGATGTCGTCTTCTGGGAACGAAGAAGTCCACAAACATACGATGGAGCAAGCGATATCAAAATCGGAGAAGAAGTCATCGATGGACCACCAAAGAAGAAAGTCGAATTCTCCATTAGAGAGCCTCTATTCAAAACAATCAGGGAAGCCACAAGAACTCTAAATCAGCATGTTAACCCAGGAGAAGAGCATTTCTCGGAGACAGAGGAAACTGAGTTATTCTACAACACAGAGGAAGGGACCCTAGAGGAGCGACTACAACTGCTAAGAGGAAGCAGGACGCCAGAAACGCCTACACAAATCACTCATCAGCAAGCATCGCCCCCAATCACGGGGCAAGCAAGTCGACAAATCCCATACCATATCACATACCCTACCCTACCAGAAGACCAAGCAGAAACCCCTTCTCCAACGCCTTCTCCGCTGGCACAACAGGGAAACCAAGAGCTTCAAGAACAGGAAGCTTCACAAGAAGTGACACCAAGAAATCCAGCACGCCTTGATCCACCAGAAATTCTCCGTCCAACCGTCCATCCCACCGTACAAAACGAACCCCAGAGTCCACGCCGATCGCCGAGAACCACAAAGGGCAAATCTCCAGAGAGATACGGGGATATCACGTGGGGGAAATACGGACGAAGAGATGAAGGAGCACAATGCGCTGTAGAAGAGACAGTGGCAAGTGGAGGAGACCAAGAAATAGGACTTCTACCAAGTGATTACTGGGGGAATTCGCCGTTCGGTGTGGGTTTCGCCCTCTCATCAACAGAAAGAGGACCCGATCAAGGATCTACGCCAGCAAGTGATCAACTGAAGTCGTGGAGAGTCAAAATCCCTCGTACACACGGGGAAGCAATGAAGTCAGAATTCAAAGATCAATGGCAAAGAGCAGCAGAGGTCCAAATCGGCAAATTAAAGGCAGCAAATGCCTACGAGATCGTGGAGAGACCACCACCAGGAAGCACAATATTACCTGGAAAGTGGGTCTTCGACCTTAAGACCGACAAAGACAACAACGTACTAGAATTCAGAGCGAGATGGGTTATCTGTGGAAACCGCCAACGCCCAGGCTTTGACTTCACAGAGAACACTGCGCCAGTCGCACGTGGAGAAACGATGAGGTTATTCCTAAGCATTGTGGCAAAGAAAGGAATGATACTCGAACAAGTGGACTACACAGCCGCATATCTTAATGCAGTCATCGACGGACGAACGATCTACATGAAACAACCTACTGGATTTGAAATCGCTGGCGAAAATGGAGAAATGGTATGCCTCGTTCTACAAGCACTTTACGGGCTACGCCAGGCAGGTCATCTATGGTATCAAACTATCATTACACAACTAAGGAGAATGGGATTCGAACCACTGGTCGATGAACCCTGTATCCTAATCCACAAAGAGCGACAGATATGGCTACTTCTCTACGTCGATGACACGCTGATCGCAGCAAGAGAAGAGGAGCAAGTCCAATGGTTTAAACAGACTATTCCATTCAAATACAGAGATCTCGGCAAGCCAAGCAGGTTCCTAGGAAGCAGTCTATCACGGAACAAAAATGGCATTTTCCTTTGCCAGAAGGCATATGCAGAGGAGATAATCGTGAAGGCAGGCCTACAGGAAGCGACGAAGGTCTATCTACCAATGAAAACCTCATACAAATCACCGGAAATAACCAGGAATCCCGCCGAAAAAGACGTTCGAGAGTCGGAGGAATTACTGACCGATAAATCATCTCTTACGCCTGGTGAAACAAAGGCGTACGTGGAGGATATCGGAAAGTTAGGCTGGCTAACCGACAAGTCACGCCCTGATATTGCAGTGGCAGTCAACAAACTCCAACGAAGAGCGTCTGCACCAAGAAAAGAGGATCAAGAAGCACTAAAACAACTCAATCGCTATGTGAAAGGCACAATTGATCTCGGGATACTCCTCGGAAAGGATGACACAAACCTTATTGGCTTCGTTGACGCCTCATATCAAGACTGTGAGGACGGGAAAAGCACGGAAGGATTTATCTTTTTCTACGCAGGAGGCCCAATCAGTTGGTCATCGCGAAAGGAGGATATCGTGGCAGGAAGCAGCTCCACAGCAGAGTACATCGCCTTTGACGCAGCAATCAGGGAGTGCTACTGGCTACTCAAAATACTCGAGCAATTAGGAGAGAAACAACCACTTCCAATCATGCTACACACAGACAGTGATAATGCAGTCGCGATAATGAAGAGCGATACATACACAAAAGGAGCGAAGTGGGTCAACAGAAGATATCACTTTGTCAGGGACGCAGTGCGAAATGGTATCATACAGTTGATATTAATCGCAAGCGAAGAAAACGTTGCCGATGCGCTTACAAAACCACTCGGAAGAGAGATATTTGAGCGCATGAATAAGGTAATGATGGCAAAAGAGGCTATGCAGCAAGTAAGTTAAACTGCAGGAAGCAAATTGTGAGAGAAGATCCCCTCGGGTTGTTGAGCCTGGGGGGGTGTGTTGTGGTGGTCGGAGCCTTGGTGCCTCAGGCATCAACCCTTGCTAGATAGATAGTTTGGGAGCTCGCTCCTCTTGACGAATACAACTCTCTCCCTCCTCTCTTGCCGGACCCCACTACGTAGGTTCCACCAATCCTGCCCAGCAGGCAGAAGAGGTTCAGAATATCAACCTAGGAAATCCTACTCAGCGAGTAGAGGAGATCGAGACAAGTGAAGACGACGACGAACAGTCAACGCCGTATGCATTCAGACATCGACGGCGTTAGGCTGTAAGGAAATAAGCAAAGTGACGGCGGTGCGCCGGGGCACTTGCTGAAGGGTCACTGGCTACAAGGGATAGCGGATAAAACAAGGGATTCATTTGACAAAAGAGGCAAGACGCCACACAACAAAGAAGAGAGCACTAAAACTCCATTCCATCCTCGGCCTCTGAGACCACAACATTATCCCAGCCAGCAGAAGCACCGCTTGGCGGAAGCAGAAGGCGACGACGAGCCTCAGCCCAGACAACCTGCAAGCGATCGATATCTACCTGGATTTAATCCGCGTCCTCCATTAGCTCCATGCGGCGAGTGCATAAACGATCCGCGACAACGGCGAAGGTCTGAGGATCCCTTGCGTTACGCAAGTTATCGGTAAGCACCGAGTTATACCGCTCTTCGACGGGGGTAGGGACCAAGTCAACGGTTTCAGCAAGGGCGAGAGTATCCGAAGTCGATACACTTCCCCGAGTCTTCTTGGATTTCGAAAGACCAAGCTTAGTCAGACTCTTACGGAGAAGGCCAGTGGTACTTATAGGAGAGATAGGCGGACGCCGCTTAGCCCGACGAGGAGAGGGAACCGAAGAAGCATCCTTCTCGGGAACAGGAGGGGGGGATCATCAGCACCCTCGTCCTCAAGAACAGTTCTCGCACGCTTAGTACCGGAACGCAAGGACTTACCAGTGTCATAGCAGAACTTCTTACAGTGGGATTACAAGTACTCCTGAGCCCAAGCCGGCTGGTCGACACGGAGAGAGCATTAAGTGGCTTCGCCCGAGAACAAGCAGTTCATGCAAGACCCTAAGGCGATAACGGCACCGCCACTTTCAGTCCACAACCCGACAACTCGACAAGTGCCAAACGCACAAGCCTCGGGCTTCGTTTCACAACGAGTACAGCAAGTGTTACCGTCCACATCGTTTCGACCTAAGGCTTGGCCGAGGACGGCTTGCCAATGGTTCCGAGAACCAACCGGCAAGCGACGAAGTTAGACGACCCCGTCATCACCCACACGCCAATCAGTGAAAGGCTCCGCGGAAGTGATGTTTTCACGAGCTGTTACCAGGGTATCGGCAAGTTGCTGAGTAATGCCAGAAGGAAGGTTACGTTGCGGAAGGATGACCTGGAAGTCAACTGAATCGAGACAAGACGGCAAGTGAGTCTCGTCCTTGCCATCAACGCATCGATAGGTTAAAGGCGGCTCGCTGGTGGTTGAATCGCCCGAACTAGGTTCCCCAGGATCCATCTCCTTCCCCTTGCCCTTGTTGACGGGTGTGAAAGGACCGCCCATTCTATAACAATAACCAAGAGAAGCGAAATGAAGAAAGTGGTGAACGAGATGAGGATACGAGAAATGAAGTGAGGCAGGAAGGGAGGTCAAAAACTCGAAGTCTTATATCTGTTTGCCTACCATTTCTACTCCACGGAATGATCCTTTCATGGCCATATACTCAAAGGGCTAATTATATCTACAAGTCAATGGATCAAAGACTTGCTGGTGAAGCCTTTGAGATTTCCTATTTAAGCAAGTCAAAGAGGCCAGAAATGATTGGTGGACTAGGAGGGCCTAGTCCGGTTAGGTGGGGGAGGATGTGATCCCCTAAGGCTTGCAGGGCTTACGTGATTAATGCCTAAGGCAGAGAGGCACTTGTCAAGTATGTGCCGGGTATTCGCTAGGACGTGGATTATGTAATTTTAGTCTACTTGACCGCACTTAGATATAACCAATGACAACCATGCGATTCTCTTAGTATCTCAGCCGCCCCTTGACCGCCCATTGACCGCCCACTGCCCTATAACACCATGACGGAAATCCGGCGTACGAACAATGTATGGCAGATCTTGAAGACTAGAACTAAAAATGACAAAACCCGCAATTTCAAAAATCTGAGCGGTAATGATCTGCCCGACATCAAGCATCAAGCTGATGCCTGAGGTTTCGAAGTAATGTAAACACTGCAAACCAATTGAGATTGCCAGGACTTTGCGACTTTTCGTTATGTTCCATCACCCTTCCAGCGCTCTCTGTAACTATTTGCCAATCCCAAACTTTACAACCCTGAGAGATTACTTTCATATTCATGCCTTCGCGTCGTAGCCATCCAAAATCGCACCATGGATGCGACCAATGCAAACAAAGGCGAGTGAAGGTGCGATTTTTGTCGAACGTCAGTTGAACCCGGCAGGCACTAAGGAGAGTATAGTGTGATGAACAACAACCGGTCTGCAAAAAGTGTGTTACTCGTGGCCAGAACTGTCATTATCAGTCATCAGCAAGAATCAAATGGGCTTCAATACCAGCAGCTGGCCATGCTCCCGGTCCAGTATCTCCGGATGCGATCAACCGCCATACTCAGTCCCGGACCGAGAACATTCTCATCCCTTTGAATACAAAGGAATCTTTGTATCGGATGGCTTCGGATTTACCTCGCCTCAATCTCAGCTGTGAGGGCATATGTCTAATCAATAATTGGTTTACGTCGACGATCCATACCGTCACCCTCGACGAGGCATCTCTTCGGGTAGTCCACCTTGTCACTAGAGATGCAGCAAAAACTCATGGATTTCTATTACATGGCATGATGGCCCTATCGGCCTTTCAATATTCTGTGCAAGGTGCAATGCATCTGCGAGCGACTCACGTCCGGAATGCAAACCAACATCTTGATTACGCACTAGAAAAATTTCGGCCCGTGATCGGTAGTATCAATACTACTAATGCTACAGCCATCATTACCTTCTCAAGCCTCCTCACGATCATATGCTTTGCTAATGGTCGAGCTCAATCTCGTGACATTACTTTTGCATCTGTCGATGAGCTACTTCAAGTGTTCGGTCTTTGCAAAAATTGGTTTATTGTCCTCGCTGAAGCCAGCAAGCATTTAAATCTTGCCCCATTCATTGATGGCATGCATAGGCCCGATCCTGTCCCTTTTTCGCTCTATTCCGGAAAAATGGCCCTCGATCGACTTGAAGAGCTAATAATTGCCAATGGCGTGTCCAGTTCTGCTTCGGAAACGGACTCATACAAGGCCACTATCCACTTATTGAGATCTGTGTTACACAAGGTGCACGTTGATAAGAGCAATCCGACCATTGTCATAGAATGGGGGCGGAAAGTACCGGAAGGATATCTTCATTCGATAAAGAATCGATGCCCACTTGCATTGGTAATATTGGCCCATTTCTCTGTGGCCTTACATTACTGCAATAGAATTTGGTGGCTCAAAGGATGGGGCCGCAGGGTCTTACTGTCTGTGTGGCACAACCTTCATCCGTGTTGGAGGTCATCAATGGTCTGGCCAATGGAAATTGTCGGTATTGAGTGATCTAAGATACAAAATATGGACTATATATTAAGTTCTAATTATGCATGCTGAACGGACCGGTCCACAATCGGTCAATTCCTGTATATATCTCAGAGAAGGAAAGGAGGGTCTTCACGGATATACCATCTGCTGGGTCAGATTGTACCCGTTCTGTTCATCACGCAGACGCATTGTGGCCTCCTTTTCTTCCTGGATGACTGTACACTGGGAGCAGAAGAACACGGCCATGCAGTCTCCACAGCAGGAACCTTCGATACCAAAACGTCTCCTCAATTCCGATCGCCTTGCAGTCTGAACGGTCCAGTTGAGCCACCCGAGGCTAAGGCAACCCCACAAGAGGCACTGAGGACAAAAATTAGCGGACTTTTGGGAATCACCAATATTGAGCCGGGACCTACCTCGCCGTTGAAGATGCTGAAATTCCTCAGAGATGGGTCCTTCATTCTAGCCGAGGTCTTTCCAAACGTCACATAGGGAAAGCAACATCCGATGAGGCCTGATATAGAAATAAGTATTCATGATGAACAAGGGTAACAGTACCCGTAAAAAATTTTCACATACAAACATCTCCTGGCGAGAAGCAATCGAACAGAGAGTAATTCCATTCGTTCCCCTGAGAGTATGATTGTCCGGGGTTACCCGGGTTCTGATGCATCATTGGGTTTTGCTGGCCATATTCAGGAGGAGCAGCTTGCTGGTACTGATGCTGCGAGGAGCCCATGGTGCGTGGAAGGTTGATAGAGGAATTATAATTATGGCGGCTTGAGTTCGAAGAGGAATGACTGAAAGTAAAGCGCCTTTTATATGTATTTGTCCTCAGGATGTGCCGGCGAATGTCCGCAACAATGACCCAAACTTCGTGTCCGCTTAGTTTGTAAAGCGGAGACACGAGAATGATTCATTGTGGTGATTTAACGATATTCGTTGATGGAAATCCATAGTTTCAAAATTTCACCTAGCTATTCTGCTGTTGGGAAAGATTGAATAGCAAAATTCAGGGCTGAACGCTAAGTAGCCCCGTTTGCCATGAGTGGTAGATCGATATCACGCTAACCGCCCCGGGTATAGTTTACGAACAACAGGTGGGGACCTAAAACTGACCAAGCAGGAATCCGCCCTTCGTTGTTCTTCCATTGGAAATGGGCAGACTATCGGGAATAAACTGCGACATATTGGTCCACATGGCGGAAATAATTTTCTTCATAGTGTTAAGGATGATCTATTCGGACATGTTTCTTCACTTAGAAATAATTACGAAGGGTTCCATAATACTCGTACTTGGATCTATGGTTAGCATCAGGAGAAGGTTACTATAAAAGGATACCAAGTAGACTGAATCCTGCTGAAAACCGTAGTACCATTCAAGATGAAGAACTTCTTTACGTCTCTTTTTACCACTGCGGCTCTACTGTTTCGGCTGTCTTCAGCGGGGCAGACACACCCGAAAGTTGATTTGGGATATGAGATACACCAGGCTCTCTCCTACAATGTAAGTTAATATTCAGTTATTCCAAAACGAAGGCTTACCTCGGCCGAACATTTTACAGGAGACTGGTCAGCTTTATCAGTTTGCCAACATTCGATATGCTCAGCCTCCGCTCGGCGACCTACGCTTCGCAGCGCCAGTCCCACCGACTGGTCGTAACCCAGTCGTTCAAACTGGCAATCTATCTTACATTTGCCCACAGGCGGGACCGGCTTGGGGAGTAATTTCCAACTCATTTCAATCAGCTTATATATCGAATGATCTATCCCTGTTCAACTACACTCATCTTGCTGAGATGGCCCCAGAAATTCTACCTACCTTGATCTCTGAGCTCAATCACGGGACTGCAGTGTCGGAAGATTGCCTATTTCTTGATGTGACGGTGCCTAAGCAAGTTTTCAACGGCTCTTTTCGCAGAAGAGCTCCGGTCGTTGTCTGGTAAGGAAGGTCCATACGTGAATGTAGGGATGTGGAGTTAATACTTTCTAGGATTTACGGAGGAGCCTATACACTAGGTAGCAAAGGTGTTAACCCTGCCGGACTGATCAAAGCTAGCCAATCGAATAATACCGCTGGGGTTATTCACGTTGCCATGAACTACCGGCTTGGAGCCTTTGGATGGCTTGCAGGGCCAACACTCCAGGGTATGGGCGGTGTGTCAAATGCAGGCTTATATGATCAGCGTCTGGCCTTGGGGTGGGTACAGAAGTACATTCATCTCTTCGGCGGCGACCCCAATCAAGTCACTGTGATGGGAGAGTCGGCAGGTGGTGGTAGTATTATGCATCAAATTACCGCCTATGGGGGTAATAAGCACTCGCTCTTCCAGCGTGCTATTATCCAGTCCCCTGGCCTAACACCAGCGGTCTCGCAGTTTAAACAAGAGAACAAAACACAGGCCTTCCTGTCCCTGCTGAATGTCAGCACAATCGAGGAGGCTCGCCAGCTGAGTTCCGACGCTCTTATCAATGCCAATTCCTGGCAGGTTGGCAATGCTTCCTACAGCGATTATGTTTGGGGCCCAGTCGTCGACGGCCTCTTTGTGCCTGCCCTTCCTGGTATTTCACTTCTCAATGGTGGTTTCTCGCGTAACATTAGCATCATGGTGGGTCATAACAAGAATGAGAGTCCTTCATTTACGCCACCATGGGCCAACAATACTGCTGCAATTCGAGCTCTCTTTCCCGGCACTGACTTGTCTGTCATCGACTACATTGTGAATACACTGTATCCAGCCAACCTCAGCGACTCAGCAATCAGCGCACGGTATAGCTCCGGCATCAATCGAACTATCGCCATGGTGAATGAGGAAATATTTACTTGCAACACAAACTATCTCGCTCGCGCCTTCAAAAATGAGACCTACAACTATGAATTTCAAGTCGCGCCGGCCCTTCATGGCCAGGATGTTTCCTATACCTACTGGAATGGTGAGGCGACAGACCACTCCACTGGAGTGTCACACGTGGTGGCCTCGATTGCGAAGTTAATGCAGGGTTACATCACCAACTTCATTGCTACAGGAAATCCGAATGGACCTGGACTGCCTATTTTCCCAAAGCAGGGGCACAATGCTACCATGCTCGGTATCGGTGGGAACAGGGCCAATGTCGAGGTGCAGACAGATGACACTGCCAATACGAGGTGTATTTGGTGGCAAAAATCTCTGTGGCTCTAAGTTGGACCACAAAGCTGTTGGCTGTTCCCTCGATGATCCACAGCCGATATTTTGGTCCCTGGCCGTGGATTGTTTTTAGAACAAACGAAGTTGACACACCCCGTCTTTCTTCACTTTCTTTCTTCTCTTTGTGTGGTGGAAGTCTCGGGACTATTTTGTGAGGTCAATTGTGACATTTTAGAGAGATAGACGGGTGAAGATGCCTCCTGCTTGAGGTGGGCGGTATGACAGAGAATTGTTGCGAGTAAGATACACAAGGCAGGGTCTCACCGTCATGTAAAATACAATGTTTATTCTTGGTGACAAAAATCAGGCGTACCACAAACGTATGGTAACAATGGCAGATATTGAAGACTCTGTTAACTCTAACCAAAATGACAAAACCCGTTTTTTCAACAATCTGAGTGGACATAGATGACTAACTGTATTATGCACTTTTGTATTCTAAGCGTTTTCAATATGAGGCCATCTGCACGGAGTGTGTGTTGGGCGCTTGGCACGATTATAGAGTAGAGCGCAGAATTACGTTGTATGGATCCTTATTGGCTGGAAGACTTGTAATCAGTAGCGCAACCTCCATCACCTGAAAAGACAAGGGGTTAGTACCCATCTAGTACAACCTACGTTGTAGGTCGAGTTCACAAGTTCACAGATAAATTGGATGCAAGGAGGGTATGTAAGCGACTGGCGTTTAGATGCTCAAATTCATAAACCAACGCTCAAACGAGTTCCCAGCTACAAATAGGAAGTCGAAGACTGACGTTCGGACAGAAGAATAGCCTTCATGCCTGCTTTTCTGTCCACTCTCCTTATCTAGACCGAAAGACGGTTGCCGGGCAAAAGAGGCCAAAAAGAGGGGGAAGGTCCATTGACTTTGGCCTTGCAGGCGATGACGATGACAGGAGGATCAGGCTGACAGCGACGAGGATGACGTACTTTAAATTATCCCGGATAGCAGCAAGAGTGTCTTGGATAGAATGTTTTTAGCGCATACAATTCTATCTACTCGGAAGAATCCATTTCATCTCGGAGTTTTGCCGTAATTTTCCCGATGAGCATCGGATGGAATATCAATGCTTGGGTCTTATTGGGTCGACTGCGGTCTTCCGGAGAAAGACTTGATTCCTGACGTCGGCCATCCCCATGTCGGCATTTGGACGTCTTTCTCTCCACGCCTTTAACGAGCTAACTATGAGGAAAGCCAAGGAAACGAAAAGGAGTTAATACCTTATTGGGGAGTGGTGTATCCCCCACCTTTGCACGCTCGAGCCTTGAGGTCGTCTAACCATCGTGTAACCTCATTCTGTAACATAAGTCTCGTCCTGGATTGTGCAATAGTGTAATGATGTAGCATAAACCATAGCCGATCGGATAGGCATATCACTATAGGGGCTCCATTTTTGTAACCTCAATCTGTAACACGAGTAAAATATAGTATAGATCAATAGTGAGCTCGGGTTTCAAGCCACTCCCGCGCGGGAGAAGGAGTCTTCCGTTTCCCTCTTTAACAATGGCCCCGGGGCCTTTCATTTTCCGCGATCGTTCAAAGTCCATTGGCGTGCGGGGTATGGGGCATAATCTCCTATTTAAGCAGTGATCTCCTATTTGTGGAGTGCGTGGAGCCTGTATGCTCGGCATAATATTTGATCGCGAAAGCTAACGTGTTGGTACGTGTCAGCTGTGGTCAGAAAGGCGCTCGGGGTTAGGTCAGCTCTTAAATAATCAGGAAGTGCTAACGTATAATATAAAGACCTTGCAACGTGGAATTGGCGAAGAAGAGAAAGAAACAGTTTCCGATAAATTGATTGCATGGACACAGGCAAACCTACAACGTTGTATATGAATTGATTATATGATTAATTCACAGTGGGTCAGAGGTGACCTTTTCGAACCCCCCCTTCTGGGAGGACTGGGGAAGAGTCACTTTGGAGTCTTGGCTCTCTTGGAACTCTTGGCTTGGGAGTCTTGGGCAGTTTTGGAGATTGGGATGGCTCGAGCCTCGGGGGATAGTCCTAAGGTTTATAAGAACCGGCAAAATCCAAGTCGATGTTGATCACCAGCTTTTTTTCCCATTGAAAAGAAGCCATGGCGATGTCATTTCCCGGGTTCCTCCCTGACTGGACGAACCTGAATATCATCCATAACAATACCCTGCCGCCTCGCGCACACTTTTATTCATACGGCTCCGAGCACGCAGCTCTATCGTTCGATCGAGAACAGAGCGAATACCATAGTCTCAACGGTACCTGGAAGTTCCACTATGACCAATCTCCGTTTGAGGCGCCCAATTGGGCGACGGCAGATGTCTCCTCATGGGATGAGCTAGAAGTCCCGGGCCACTGGCAACTCAACGGCTACGGTCACCCTCACTACACCAACATTGAGTACCCATTCCCCGTCACCCCGCCCAATGTCTCCTACGTGAACCCCACTGGGTCCTACTGGCGCGAGTTCACCGTGCCCGAGGACTGGAATGGCGAGCAGATCCGGCTGCGTTATGAAGGTGTGGATAGTGCTTTCCATGTCTGGGTCAATGGCCAGGAGGTTGGATACAGCCAGGGCAGCCGCAATCCCAGCGAATTCGACATCACCGACTATCTTTCCGCTTCTGGGGAGAAGAACACCCTTGCAACTCGTGTTTATCAGTGGTCCGATGCTTCGTATATCGAGGATCAGGATATGTGGTGGCTATCCGGTATCTTTAGAGACGTTTATCTGATTCCTTTTGCCAAGTCGTCCATTGTCGATTTCGACGTCTTCCCCGAGGTTGATGACTCCTTCAAGAGCGGTACATTGACAGCAAACTTTACCATCCAGGGGGAGGAAGGGGATGTGGAAGTCAAGCTTCTGTCGCCAAGTGGGAAGGTCGTCGACGAGGCCACTGTCTCATCATCGGAAAAGTATGTCAAGAAACTTAGTGGTAATGAGCTGGAACTGTGGTCTGCTGAGACCCCTAACCTGTACACTCTCTTTTTGACCTTTGGCGGACGAACCATTAGCCAAAAAACCGGTTTCCGTCGCGTGGAAATCAGCGGTTCCAACTTCCATGTCAATGGCAAGCCCATCATCTTATACGGTGTCAACCGTCATGAGCACAATCACCTCACCGGACGGACAGTCGCCTACGAGGACATGCGGCGGGACCTGATCTTCATGAAACGATCCAATATCAACGCAATTCGAACATCCCATTACCCCCACCACCCTTCCTTCTTTGACGTCGCCGACGAGCTTGGCTTTTATGTCATTGCCGAGGCAGATCTTGAATGTCATGGTTTCCAGATCACCGGCGATGGCCTGCAGGTTTCCAGTAACCCAGACTGGGAGGAGGCTTACTTGGACAGGGCAATTCAAATGGTAGAGCGCTACAAGAATCACGTTGGTATCATCATCTGGTCGCTTGGAAACGAGTGCGGCTACGGCACGAATCACGCTTCCATGGCCAAATGGATCCGACAGAGAGACTCTACTCGAATTATTCACTACGAGCAGGACTATGAGGGTGAAACGGTAGATATGCATAGCCGCATGTACAGATCTCTAGACCAGATCCGGGAACTCATTGGCAACAACACTGATAAGCCGTTCATCTTGTGCGAGTTTGCGCAGTAAGTCCTATCTCATTTCATCCCACAAGCTTGGGGCATCTCCCTCCCGCTTGTTGTTATTTATTCTAACGTGAGCAGTGCAATGGGCAACGGCCCTGGCGGCCTCAAGGATTACATCGAACTCTTCAGAACCGAGCCCCTTGTCCAGGGAGGCTTCGTATGGGAATTCAACAATCATGGCATCCTGAAGAAGGAAGACAACGTATCATACTATGCCTACGGCGGTGATTTCGGCGACACTCCCAATGATGGTGACTTCATCATGGACGGTCTGGTTCTCTCTGACCACACGCCCATGCCCTCAATGGGTGAGTATGCCAAAAACATCCAGCCTGTCACAATGAACTTGACCGCGGATTCAACCCAACTGATTATCACAAACCATTATGACTTTGTCGACCTATCCGGACTGCTTCCCCAGTGGCACCTTGTGCAGGATGGCAAGAAGACAACAGAGTCGAAGAAACTGGAGCTCCCGAGCATTCCGGCAGGCGAGAGTCGCAAGGTGGACCTTCCATTGAAGAAGGAAGACTTGTCAAAAGAAGCATGGATCATTGTTGAGTTCCTGCTTGATGAGGACAAGGTCTGGGCTAAGAAGGGCCATGTTGTTGCCTGGGATCAAGCTTACCTCCCTGGACCTTCTGCTTCCTCTTCTCAACGCCGCTCCAACTCTGTCGCTCGCAAGGACGATACTAGCATCAAAATCTCTCAACCAAAGCAAACCCGTCTTGAAGTCCAGAGCGGCACCTCGACATTTGGCTTCGATCTCCTGCGCGGAAATGTCACATGGAACGTCGACGGAACGGAAATCTTCCAACGCGGACCCGAACTATCTCTCTACCGCGCCCAGACGCAGAACGACAAGGCCAACGCAGGCGATGGGCCCAAGTGGGATGCAGCATACGTCAACCTGGTCCACACACAGGTCCGCGATGTGACATGGCAACAAGCCGACAACGGCGACGCCCAGATACACTACAAGGTCTGGGTCGCGCCCAAGGTTTGGGATTGGGGCGTGCAGGCGGATCTAATCTACACCATCTCGGCCGATGAGAAGGCTCCACTCCGCCTTCAGGTTAAAGGCGAGTTCTCTGGCGACAACACCCCGACTGTGTTACCGCGTATCGGCCTCATGGCTGTCCTACCACAGGCCTTTGACGCTGTCTCCTGGTTCGGTCGTGGTCCCGGGGAGAGCTACCCCGACTCCAAGCAGGCGTGTCGCATGGGCGAGTACCAGTCCTCCGTGGATGACCTGTTCACATACTATGATTACCCGCAAGAGAATGGTAACCGCGAGGATCTGCGCTGGGTGCAAATCGGTAACCCAGAGAAGGGCGTAACGCTCGATGCCCGTCGCAGCGACAGTCAAGGCGAGAAGTCTGCCTTCAGCTTCACTGCCCGTCGTTACATGCCTCAAGATTTGGACAGTGCCACGCACCCGCATGATCTGAAGCCGCTCGACATGACCGTCTTGCATTTGGATTATGCTAATAACGGTCTTGGCTCTGCTACTGTCGGACCCACCGCGTTTGAGCCGTACAAGTGTTATGCTGAGCCGTTTGATTTCACTTTTGACTTTAGCATTGTCTAAGAGACTGACACTGTTGTTGTACATAGCTTATAGCTAGTGAATTTTGGCCTGGAACGGCTAAGACTAGCCAGTGCTTGTTAATTAGAAGCTATCTTAGCAATGTGTATATATCTTATAGGTCTTGAGAAATTTAGGTTGCTCAGTCCCTGATTTTACAAGAAATTCTAATCTCTCTGGTTGATCTTCAGACGCCTCCTTACTAGTAGTAGGATAGCACAGTACTGGAAGAAGGCAAGTATCATCAGCCGATCATGTCTACGTACAATGTGCTGGAGGTGCTAGTGGCTACTTCGACCTTTATCATTCACTAGTTGGTACTCCACTACCAACTCACCGCCAACTTCACTGAGTCCGAGACGCGCAGGGCACTTTCGAGATATTTACAGGCCGAGGCCACAATGAATGGGATTTGGGGCGAGAACGTGCGTGATGTACCTTGTTTTCATGACCTGCCGTACTACTCATACGAACTTGACCAATTTCCTGATGATCCGGTCCTTGGGATTCTTCAATTTACTTTCAATCCCGAGGTCGACGTCTCTGATGCATCACAGCGCGCATCAATATTCTGGTAGAAGTTGTTACGCTTTGTTTTGACTATACCTGGCCTTCAAAGACTCCATTGGTCATCAGTGAACGATGTCTCGCCGTGTCAGCAGATTATCGTACTGATCCAGTGGGAAAGCGTGCTTGGCTGGAAACTATTCCAACATTGTCTTGACTTCAGCATGATGCTGGGATATATTTCCCAAGCCTCCAACCGTTGCGTTCAAATTGGTTTACCCCTCGACATCTCTGACTCGTGTCACCTCGAGCCAGTCTCCTTTCAGTTTCCAGCAGCTCTATCTGCTTCTCAGCAAGATGAGAAAACTGGCTTCAGAGCCAAATGGGGAAACGCATTTTCCAAACATGTCAATGGAGTTATTCCCAGCCACGCCTGTGGGCAATGGCTACAAAGAGACAAAGAATCGGAGGACCAGTTTTGGGTCTGCATATAATATAGTGAACTCAGCCACTCACGACAAAGACAATTCTCCCGAGATCACCTATCTAGATCGAATCCAATAGAGGACGAGGGCTACAGGTGTAAGTTGTCAATGTACCCATATCCGATGCAACTATCTTACCAGAAGTACTAGTCTCTTGCTTCGACGCGTTGATTTCAATATCTAATGACGCGCAGTCGACCACATGTCGTGGAGTTGGTTGACTCTGATGAGACCGGACTACTCACTGTGTATTAGAGTGGTTCTCAAACCGTATCAATGTAAGTTTTGTGCACTAGTTAGAAGAGTCACGGCTATTCAATAAGCCTATACTTTTTACAAAGACACAAGAAGCAAGCCCTTCAAGACTTGTGCAGTACTTCCGGACATCGGTGTCACACTCAACACTCTTTCAAAATAACCATTCTTGGGATTATCTAATAAGAACACCGGTCTACCCTGAGCATAAAGTGGTGGCACCCCAATCGGGAAATTCGCATCTGCGGCCTAAAATTGGGTACATACGGCTACATATACTTGTGACCTCCTAGCAAGTTTGTTATTTCCCTGAAGTAGAGGTCTTCAAGCTCATTCTTGCCCCCAAAATTCACCAACGGAATGGTTCTATTCAATTATAATTACGTGATCACCTATTAGGTTGAAGATGAATACCCTAAGCATCTGCACGATCTTCATGTTCATCGTCGTCAGCTCCATCTTCATCATCTTCACCATCATCTTTTTCGTCTTCTAAATCTTCTGCATCGTCAACCTGTGGCTCGAAAAAAGGAGTACCAAATCTTTTCCTCCGTCTTGCACCTCCAGAATGCCCCTTTCCACATTGTATTACTGTGAATTCCAACAATATCATTCCACATTCTTCCAGTGCCCCCTGAAGGAACTGTCTCTCCTTCTTGTTGAATGAATAGTGCTGAAATTCAGATGGGATTTTATGGTCTTCATTGTCCCACAAGACCATTGTTTTGCGTAAGCTACCACAAGGGACTTGGCGGATAAAATCGTTCATCGTGAGCGGATCTGTTACGCTGAACCAGTGTGTCCGTGAATCTTCGACGGTCTTGGTATACGGCCCTCTAAGACATGTGCCGCCTCGACCGCTTTGCACCAGAAAGAAGATAATATCACGAATCGGAGGTTGTTGAACCAACATGCGTTTCCAGCTGGATTTTATGTCACTGGTACCAGTTTCAATGCCATGGCTTTTGCACTGCTTCTCGGATGTGGGAAAATCGGGGAACCAGTCGGGGAAGATTTCGGCTAACAGAGGATTGCGTTGTCTATCCTCTCGATCCCAGTCAGGCTGGAAAAAGAGATATTTCTGAAGGGAGGGTGACGTCGAAATCAAATCTTGCCATCGGTGGCATACACGTTGAGCGGATGTCAAGATGTACTTGAGATCAAGGTGAAGAAGTATGTTCTCTAGAACTTCCAAGGTCCCAAGAGCCGTATCTTGGGCGGTCATGTTGCCTTTTAATTATGCTGAAGCTGATTCAGGATATGAAAAAGAGGAAATGAAAGTTCAAAGGGGAATGGATCATTTTAGGGCAATTTATAGTCCACTGAGACTCATTGGTGCACGGTCTAGCCTAGATCCCACCTTGTGGCGCCCTAGGAGTACTAGCAGTACTACCTAACTAGCTAACTATCATGTTGGGTGGGGTCTCTTATTAGCCTAACTCATGTCTACAACGCATGAAGTACAGTGTTAGCGACACCATATCAAAGTGATACACACCTCGGCTAGGATTGCCGCAATACTAGCCAATACGTAGATAATATCCTGGATTATATACACTATGCTGATTCGAAATTAGCTCCTTCACAGTTACCTATTGTAAATTTAGTTGTATATCTTCTTGCCCAGCGCGGCGAGGGCCCCCCAATCACGTCGAACAGCATGCGATGACATAGGGAAGTGGATAACCTTTTCCCATCGTGGTTTTCCTCACTGCCATAGTGAAGAGTTCCATCAAATCTATTGTTTTCACTGGCGTCCATGTCTATACCGTCACGGGCCACTCCCCATAAAGGAACGGATATAGTTAAAATTCAAGTACTGAGAATAGAGGCGAAGAAAAGGATACGCGCACGTGACATTGGATGACTAAGATTTGGTAAAGGAGCTTAAACGGGCATCCAAGCGATTTTCGGAAGCTGATTTGCCGTCAATTAGGTGTTTAGGGTAAAAGCATATACTGGAATGGACACAATTGATATGCTATCGAATTGTATACGTATCGTAGTGGTATACAGCTTAGGAGCCTTTGACGCTCATTGGTCTGCCAAGCATCGGGTCCATATCGGTCCATTTTAAGCCGCGGCGCAACGCGCGACTCTACTCTGTCTCGTACTCCGGAGCTGGAGCATAATTCCGACCTCGCAGTCATTTGGCTTATTTTCATTTGCGCCGAAGCTCTTTGTACGAAATCTCCTAATCCCCACATTCAATTACTGCGCGCAAACGATAGCTACCCCACAACTCGGACTGCCACGAGAGCGCCCAGTAATCATGGGTTCACCAGAGGAAGAAGAGGACCGTGACATGGGAGGTATGGCAATTGTTTGTTCCAATGGCCTGCGTCAACGCCCCGCGGCTCATCCATCTCAACTTTGCTAATCACCCCCGTGACTCCCTAGGCTCCCAGGACGGAAGCTCCGATAACGAGAACGACAACGATATGGATGACACAATGCGCGACGTCGACGATGGCGAGGGCGACAATGAAAATGACCAAGACGGAGATGGGGATCAAGACCCCGATAGCCCCTCGAATGCGAGCCAGACGTCGGAGGGCCCTGGCATGCAACAAAACACGAATGGCAATGGCGACAATTCCGAATTCGAACCCTTCTCCATTTACCACCCAAGTGTGCGCCCTGAATGCCTCACAGCCCGAACATACGATGTGGTTCCAACTACCGCCGCGCCGCATGCCACCTCGATCAATGCAATCACAGCGACGGCGGATATGCGTTGGATTTTCACCGGTGGATCGGATGGATACGTACGAAAGTTCAATTGGGCAGACTCGATAAATAGCAAGCTCATGTTGACTGTGGCGCAAAGGCATCCGTTCGTGGACAGTGTGGTCAAAGCTGGAGTCCTGATGACATATTGGGAGAACATGGATGGCAGCCATTTGTCACCGGTGTACTCTTTGGCCAGCCATAGTGAAGGATTGTGGCTACTTTCCGGGTTAGAATCCGGGGTGATTCGTCTGCAAACTCTGCGTCACGAGGAAGGCAAGGAAATCGCGCTTCTTCGACAGCATACCTCGGCAGTGTCATCACTGAACCTCACATCAGACGAAGAATCATTGCTCTCCGGCGGCTGGGATAAACGGGTCTTCGACTGGGATCTGAATACCGGCCAAGCTAGACGAGCTTTTGGTGGCAGCGGCGGACAAATATCTGCTCTGCAGATTCGGCCAGAGTCCAGCCTTTCGGTCCCCAAGGACACAGTCGAACCGCAGCAGACCAATGGCACGTTTACATCAAACTATGCTGCCCCTAGTACAGATAACTTCAACTTCATGGATACCTCCCACGACAATGGAGACACGGGCCCAGTCGAGAACCCGCAGGCGGGCTCCCCGGCCGACTCACTTTTTGGCGGAACGGACTCATTATTCGGCGACGCAGATGGCGGAGCTACGGATGGTAATGAGCCATCTGGTGGAGTATTTGCGGTAGATGAGGACGATGAATTTGGTCGCGCTGTAGCTAATGGTGCTATGCCGGATGTCGATGCACCAGGAGAAGTTGACGATGAAGTGCCTGCCCAACTAGATGGGCCTGCACAGAGCACGCACGATGCATTATCGCCGAAAACAAATACCCATGCAGATGCGCCAGTCCAGAAAATGGAGATGGACGATGCGGGTATCTCGACCGGCCCAGTGCAGCCGGTTGTCAATGGACTCCCTAAAGCAGAGGATCTCGAGACACCTCAACCAGCCCCAGACTTCTCGGAAAATACCCAACAACAGCAAGGCGTGACGACCGATAACACATTCCTGGCTGCCTCAATCGATGGGACAATCAGAGTCTGGGATCGACGACAGCCTGATCCTGTTGCTCGAGTCACACCCTACAATTCTCCTCCATGGTGTATGAATGCCTGTTGGTCTCCTGATGGAAATTATATTTATGCCGGACGCCGAAATGGCACTGTCGAGGAATACAGCCTCCACAAGGGTTTGAGAAATGCCGAACGAACATTCAAATTCCCACAGGGGAGTGGGCCGGTGACAGCACTCAAGGCCATGCCGAATGGGCGTCATCTTGTCTGGTGAGTAAAATACCACTAGGTAACGCAGTACTCTTTTTCTAACATTTATTCTGCAGTGCCTCGCACGATATCCTTCGTCTCTATGACCTGCAAAACGAGCAAGGCGATCAGACTTCTCGCCATTCCCCAGTCCCATTCTTGATCATTCCTGGTCATCGGACTGGAACTATCTCTCAGCTGTATCTTGACAATGCATGCCGTTACCTGATTTCCACCAGCGGAAACCGGGGTTGGGAAGGAAATACCACCGAAGTCCTCCTAGGTTACGAGATCGGTGTGCCGCAATAGGGAAAGCTATAAACGATGGACATGCAAAAGCATAATGAACCATAGTGTCACATAATTCACGAATATCATGACTGGAAATCTAAAGGCGCGAGGATATCAAACATTTGAACTGAAACGGACAGTGGATATTTGTAGCCAAAGGCCCAACTCATGAAATTGAAGCGATTGCCATGTAAATATACTCTACATGGATGCAGGTCACAAAGACAAACACAAACGCCAGTCCCCCTCCATATTTACAACATGCACAAGACCATGTCACGTAACCAAAAAAGAAACCGAAGGATCATTGCTCATCATGAATGATTTCGTCAAGGTCCAGCCCCTCACAAACTTCAGCTTGCTGAGATCGCCATGTCCCAAAGTAGGGATTGTTATCCCATTTAACATGTCCATCACGATCGTTATCAAAATAGACATAACCAGGCTGCTCGGCATGTGACAGTTTCGCCGCTCCAGCAGCTCCCTGAGGCCCAACCACAAGACCACCAAAACCAGGCAATGCAACATTAGGAACATGAGTCCTTGCCTCAACATTCCCATTCTCGATGTTATTGACAGTAATTAGATAAACAGGCGGGAGATCCGCTTCACGGTTTGCACGAAGTGGCATAGGAATCCACGCCTCGTTGTTATAGGAGTCAGGGCGATTTTTGTCGTGTCGGAGGGGCAGAGGCCGATCTAAGAGCATATCATCCAGTTTTCCTGTGTCCAATAGTAGACCCGGTGTTTGAACATATAAGACACTGTCGTACTGCATGAATTGGATCTGGCCCAGGTGGAGCAGCTTGCTGTTTGTTGTTGAGTAGCCTGCAGCTGTGGCGGCTGACATGTCGATTGGAAGGAGCCAGATATTATATTTGGCACTGGCGGCGCGTAATATTGATAAAGCTTTAGCGGCAGATGGGCCCAGGTTCTTAGCTGACATTCGGTCCCATTGCTCTGGGTACATGAAGAGACGATCCTGGACGGCTGTTCCGTTCGTGGAGAGTTGTTTGAAGAAGAGGATTGCGGAGCAGATGTCTGATGGATCTGGTTCGGATAGCATTTGGAGATAGGCATAGTTCCCTGATGCATCGTAATTGGGTTGAATCCCAATTGGTGTATCTTGATCATCCCCATAACCCGTGTCTGACAGACCTCGTTTTAGTGGCTTCTGGAATGCGGGGCCCGATCTGTGCCTGGCCATTTGGGCGGCCTCTTGTGGTTTCAAAGCATATTGGATGTTCTTGACAGATTGCTGCTGCAAGACATATCCAGAGAAAAATAACAATGTCGTAAATATGCAGACCACTCCCATCGACACAATGGCCGAAACCGTGGAGGACGTTAAAAGAACCATGACCACAAGGGAAGCTGCATGGGTTGAATAGTGAGGCTATGATAGACAAAATTAAAATTCCAGGCATGCATAGTCCCCCTGGATGTTCAAGATATAATAGCCTTGGTCTATTAATCTCCGAACAGGTCTCATTGTTAGGCTTGTTTCATGACATCAGGTTGTTTACGTTGTCCGGCGCGACTATCGATAAGCTCGATCTTGGCGGTGTCACTTCCAGCTTGGTCAAGCCGGTTATTTTTAACTGAAGATTGATCATTGCCCATTTGGATAGATATATCTCCATATATAATTCATGCTGGTAATTAAAACTTTAACCCAATCATAGAGCAATGTATGATGAGAAGACAGACCTTGTATACTTTTTTGTACTTAACATGGATAAAGGCGGTGACAAAGGCGGTAACCCCCAAGTCCGTATTATCGCGATGGTCTCAAAAAACTGCCGTGGCCCTTTTTCGCCTCTCTTCGATGCCTTGGCACCTCCGCATCCGCCCTCACCTCCAAAATGGCAGCTCATCGTGCCGATGCCAGCACATTCCTCGATAACCGTGGCTACAAGGGCCCCTTGGTCCGAGGCGTCAACCCAGCCACGCTTTTCGAGAAAGCTGTGCGCGACCGCATCACCGATTCATATTACTGGAAGGAACAGTGCTTCGGTTTGAACGCAGCGACTCTGTGTGATCGCGCAGTCGAATTGACCTGCATTGGTGGAACATACGGTGTCTCTGAGAAGCCTACTCCCTTCCTTTGCCTCGCATTCAAGCTCCTCCAGCTCGGCCCTGACCGAGACGTCATCCTCGAACTACTCAACTTCACCGACCCCGGCAGTGGCGATGAAGCTGAAAACCCAGATGATGCGCTTGTCAAGGATCGAGGCGACTTCAAATATCTGCGCGCCCTTGCGGCCTTCTACGTGCGATTGACCTTCGAACCGGTCGATGTCTACAAAACCCTGGAACCACTACTTCTCGATTACCGGAAACTGAAGCGACGGGTGCGCGACTCTTTCACGCTTACATATATGGATCAGTTCGTGGATGATCTTCTCACAAAAGACCGTGTCTGTGGTACCAGTCTCTGGAAATTGCCGCCACGATCACAACTGGAGGACTTGGATTTGCTAGATGAGCGAATCAGTCCTGTTGAGCTAGAAGACTGATGAGTCCAGTATGATTGTCAGCATACAAAAACATAACTCCGGAGAAGGGATAGAGGTTAAAAGACAAGACTAACTCGGGTTATAGTGAGTTTTGTCTAAGTGGCTGCTGTGCACTGTCCACGGGTACTTCACCCATAATCAAACAGTCATGTGCCGCCAAGTCTCGGGACATTTTTACCCTTTTGGGTAACACGAAGGCTTCCCCTTCGGTATACATGTTCCCAGTTCTTATCTCTTCTTGTTTGGTTGAATCAATTCAGTCAAGACATTGCTTCTTGGGTTCTATCGATATTGAACATCGTAGGGAGTGGAGTTAGTTACAGCTAAACCATCACCTCGCAATGGCAAATCACACGTCTCTATTTTGTACTGATAGGCGTCGTAAACTCGACAAAGCTGCTTAACTGATCTACCTGCACCTTGTGCCTCCTTGGCTTGTTTGCCTGGGTGCAGCGGTACATAGAACATATGATAAGGACATTTTAATGAGTAACATGATAAGCATACACTGGTGTACAATAGCCCGCCTGTGACGTCGACGCAGCAGAAACCAGCATAGACCACCGGCATTTCCTCTCCCAACATGGCAAATGCAATCTAGCCAGACAACTAAAGCAGCTATTTGACGCGTACATCTTGTCACTCTGAATGGATGCGAATTTCACCCCCGCTCCGGATATTCTTTGACCAAGCAACAATGGTCAACTTGTTTTGCCCACCGTTAGCCCGGAGAGTACATATTTGTTTTGGCCCCTGTCCCTACATGGCTCGATACATTTGTCAAGCCTACCCCCTGCAGCTGCTGTTATATATGCCCATATATTGAATCACTATCCACGTCCGTCTTGCCCTAACTCGTATGGATTGAGGCGCTATGAACTTCCTATCAATCCCCGAGAACCTCTGGCGAATTGGATTTATCCTACTTGCTGCCACTGCGGTCTATGCTGTCATTAATCGAATATTTGGCAGATCTCTCTTGGCCAGAGTTACATTGCGTGGTCGAAAACACTCAACTTCCCGAACTCCACCGCGATCCTTTTCTCCGGACAAGAAAGCTGCCACAAGACCGACTTCCCCGTCTAGTTATGGGGATGTCCTCCCACCCCAACGCAGGCATACACTCACAGATCTTAATTGTGACGCTACACCCGAACGCGATGTGCACGAAGATGAAGTACGTCGGAATATCCTACCCATGAGCGCCAACTATACAACCAGCCCGGGCGACAAGTATACACCGATGGGATTCTCAGTGGCAGAAGTCAAAGGACTTGGAGACTTTCCGGACTATGCAACTCTCAGTGGAGTTCCACTTCCCGGCCCATATCCCGAATTCAATATCGAGAAGGCACTGCCTCGGCCATATCGTCCATTCCGGTGGGCGTATCACCAGACTATGTGTATGTCCCATGGAAAGCTAAACAAAGGTGATTTGAAACTAATACCATCCTCCGTTCAAAAACAGCCTTGAGTAAACTCGAAACAGACTGGTGGATCGAGCTCGAAAGTACATACAAGAGCCGCATCGCCCAGCGCAAAGAACTCTACGCCAAGAATGGCAAGGAAGTCCTCGATGCCATGCCAGGTTCCGAGCTTGCATGCAAGGAGTTAATGGAGATGGTCTTGCAATTTATCTGCGCCCGATATCCGCAGTACTTCATACTGGTTGACAAGCGCGTATTGCAGAATAAGATCCTCGGTACCGAGCAGGATGTCACAGCCAAGCCACCTCTCGAAGTCCTTCTGGACAACGTTCCAGAAGACTTTGCAATCATGCTTCGCGACGACACGACTGGATTTTACTTCCTGCGTGCAGCGGTGATCTGCTCAGCAATAGGGTGGAATGTCGCGTCTAAGGTTGGGAAGCAGCTGCATGAGATCCACGAGCCGATTCCGGATTATAAGGAGAAGATGCAGTTTTCCATGGATCGGTATGTTGGTTGCTCCTTTAGGGGAGATCGAATAATGAAGTGCTGATGCGGGAATACGGTTTAGATTTTTCACTAAGATGCCTACCGAGAAACCAATCCAGCGAGGGTCATGGGGTCTAGAAATTGGACAGCCATTGTACGTGCCACCCGGGGACCCGCACGAACTGCACCGGCTATCTCAGCAGGCTGATTTAACCCTCGACGAGTGTCACCTGCGGGTGGACTGGCAAACTCTCAGGCGTCTCCCTTTGTCCGGTGCAGTGATCTTCAATTTCAAGGGTCTTTTTACTCCAGTCACGGAATTCCGTGATGAGCCTGGCGTACCGGAGTTGGTAATGAAGATCTTGACGGAGGGAAAGAAGAATCTCATGGATTACAAGAGTGTTTGGCATGTGCAGCATGTTGTACTTCCAAAGTTGAAGGATTGGGCAGAAGAGCAGAAGAAGGATGGGCTAGTTCCAAAAGATTGGGAAGTATCTACTTTGGATGATAGTCCATGGTTCAAGGGCTGGCAAGAGAAATGGCATCGGCAACAGGGATTCTAGGATGTTGATATTTGACTGTTGAGTGGTATTGTTTCTTTGATTGAATAGTTTCATTATTCCCAGGGTGGTAGCTATCGTTTATCAGTTCTCATCAATTGAGTTGCCTACATCATCTAAGCTCCGTTTTTCCCATTGATGCATTGTTACAATCCTGGTGTTTTATGCAAATCTCCCTTGTGAGGTGGTGCGGTGGCAGTTGTCTTGGATATAGAACAAAGATTGCTTATGCAAGGAAAAGAAAATCCCTTTGTTCGATCTTGACCTTATAAGACAGCCAGTATGGTTGCGATCCTGTATTTCTCTGAAATTTTAGCCGATGTGAAATGGCAATTTTGACTAAATCAAGATGAGGCTGTTGATTTTCAGATGACCAGCTCTGTCACTTCGTGTGAGATTTATCTCCCTACAATCTCTATAATTATCATTTTTTCACAATCGTGAAACAAGTTTGCTAGACAGTTCCTATTTCTTTTGTGTCGAAGCACTCTCTTCAGCAGTCCACGTGTGATGAGTTCTACACACTCCGAATGGTAAACCCCCAAGGAAAGCAAAGGATTTCCCATTGATTTCAACTCAAACGATGGACCACACATTAAGGGGGCTGAAGATCCTGCATTTACTGCTCTCGCAACTGACCAAATCGACCAAATCACTCAAATGAAGGCCTTATGTTCGAGGGTTTTGATCGGCCAGTCAGGAATCTGCTGAAGCTTGGGTATTTCCTTTTTTATTCCCAAGGAGAAATTCTATCACTTCATGGGAGCAAACTCGGGCTACGAAGGAAATATCTTACTGGTCATTAATCCCACTCGCGATATCTATGGCCCATCAACGACAACCACAATCTATGAGTTTAAAGAGAACATATCCGTATACCCGAGAGCTCTACTTGTAAGAAGACTTTCATTTCTTAATGGCCACCTCATTGCTGTTGTATAGAATTTGCCACCATGAGTGATTGTCGTGGCCAATGGAGCCATTCTTCCCATGCTGGCCCAAGATACTGACTGATTGAATCAACTAGATACTTGCCACCATCGCAGAATATCCACGAATGTTTGTGGGTATCAACCAGAGCACCAAAATGTGCCAAGATAGCCAAAGCCTCGCCCTTCCTCTGCGAGATCAGATCAATGTATTCGCGAGGAACAAGCACCGGCCATGCAATGAGAATATCTAAGCTGGTTTCCCCTAGATTTTGACTGTCCATCACAGTGATGACTGATTGCAAGGCCTGGATAGCCTGTTGGTATGTCCTTGTAGTAGTATCGTCGTGATCAAGACTTTTAATCCGATCCAAAAGCACCTGGCAAACTGGTCCCAGACCTGCATCTGCCGAAGGTATCCTTTCTCCAAGCGCCAAGAGTGGCTTTAATGTTGTTTGTTGCAAAAGCTGCCATCTCCCCCCGCTTACGACAGTGCGTACCCCATGATGCAATATAGTGTACTGAACGAACTGGTCAAGAAAGCTCTCGATGTTACTGTCTCGATAAACTAGGGTCTCGCAGAGCATGTGCAGCCCCAGAATACCAGCGAATAGAAAAATTGAGACATAATTTTCGTCATTTATTTGTGATGATGAGTTGTTGAAGGAGCTCAGGGCATAACTCTGCAACTGAGTAGAATGGTGTCGGTAGAAAGACCGCTGTTCTGGTCTGGTGATGCTAAGATGCAAAGCACTCAGAGATAGAAGCTCGTTCATGAGATAGGGCGCACCGAGCCCATGCCGCAAGATGTCCTGGAATGAGATACTAGAAAAGTTTTTCTGACCACTGAATACTTCCATAGCATCCGAAGAAAGATTGTGAGCAAGCTCGACATGGAGCATGTTAACGGGGGCATCCTCAGGACTATTGGTGGGTTCTTGGGCGGGCGAAGATGTCACGGCCGGTGAACCAACAGCGGACGATGGAGTTGCAGTGTCGCTACCAATGCTGCTAGTTGCCTTTGCATAAGGCACAGGCTCTAGGAACTCGCAGTGTCGTTGTGAACTGATACAGTTGGAACATATGGGTCGTTTCTCGTCACACTAAGTAGGGTCAGCGGCTGCACATAGGTGGTCATTCAGTGACAGACCTTCATGTGGCGGCGCTTGCATTCAATGCAGCCATTTCGAGACTTTTTATGTGTTCTGCGGGCCATTTTTGCCACGCCGTGACATAGAAAAAGATACTGCTAGAGCCGGAAGTCTCGGTTCCGATAAGCTAGTAGTATATGAGAGACCCTCACGGCCAGTGAAGGTAAATATTGCAGCCTAAAGATTTGTAGCAAGCCTAATCTCTAGGCCCACAGATATTATCTCACGAATCCACTTGGAATGTCTTGAATGATTCCTGAGGTTGAGTGGTGAAGTCCGGAAAATGTGATGAATACGCGTATGCACAGACCAAGGCCCCACTTTGGTTAAGGTTAAAGATCTTGGCGCTCGGCAGCTCCGCCGCTTTTGATATGCAAAGTCCATCGGCCCTGCCTCTTCCAGGAGTTAATTATATAATATTAAACCCTTTTTGGATGACGATATAAGCTTGGCTCAGATAGTGTATATTTAAATTCCCCAATGACACATCACTTTCATTTTTACCACTCTCAACCCTGTGAGCGACATCCAACTGAAACTTCATTTCTCATTTTTGTCAAAAGCCCGCTTCTCTCTACACACAATATGGCGGAGCTTAAGCCTTACAGAGGGGGCTACTATCTCTGGAAATATGTCCCCTCGCTCCCAGCAGCAATCATCTTCTTGATACTTTTCGTCGCTGCCACGACATTCCACTTTTGGAAGCTGCACCGAACAAAAGCTTGGTTCTGCCTCGCATTTTCTCTCGGGGGACTCTGTGAGCGTACCGGGCGCATTTCATTCAAGCATCGCTGACTAGTTTTGCGTCAAGTCGAAGTAATCGGTTACGTCGGTCGAGCCGCTGCGCACAACAGGACAGATTCGGTGATAATATACGCTATTCAGAACGTCTTCCTTCTCCTTGGCCCTACCCTTTTCGCAGCCTCTATATACATGACCCTCGGGCGGATCATCCGCAGCGTCCACGCCGAGGAACACTCGCTTGTTCGGATAAACTGGCTTACCAAGATATTTGTGATGGGCGACGTGGTATCATTCCTTGTTCAAGGCAGTGCATCGGGCCTGATGGCCACGGGGAATAATACGAAGCTGGCCTCAAACATTGTGGTCGCTGGTCTGGTCATCCAGGTCGTCATGTTTGGTCTATTCATTGTCACATCGGTTGTTTTCGAGGTCCGTATGCGTCGCTCGCCCTCGACAGCAGCCTTTGAGGAGCAGATTAACTGGATGAGTCGAGTCCGCACGCTCTATGCTGTCAGTGCGCTTATCTTGATTCGGAGCATTTTCCGGGTTGTGGAGTATGCAGCTGGGAATGACGGATATCCACTTACCCATGAGTGGATGCTCTATGTGTTTGACTCTGTGTTGATGATAATCTCGATGGTCATATGGGGTATTTGGTATCCTGTAATTCTACTGAGACCCATAGTCCCGGATCAGGGGATAGTCACAGAGGTAGCGGCCGGCGTCGAGTTGAAGGGGCGTTGATTTGCATAGACATGCGTCTACTTCAATTGAGAACATGTTCACATTGCTATCTTACTAGGTTCCAGGACGAAGAACATCGTTAACAGGGGAAGGTAGCTTAGTCTTTGAAAGAAGAGTGTCAAGGTTAGAGGTCTGGCTACGAAATGCTTCTCTGAATAATAAATACCTCAGTTATGACACCATATGATGGACTGTAAATGAAATCCTACTAATAGCAGTCTTAGAAATGCAATCAAAAGGTTGACTACATGTAGCCTCATCCTGTTCATTTGAACATAAACACAAGTCTGAGATGACAAAGTATAGTGTACACACAAACTTTGGAAAGCGTGGGAGAGAAGGAAGTGTAATCTAGTACCTAGTAATAACAACAGGTGGCCTAGTGGTAATATAACAATGTGCACCACGAAGGAAGTGGCTAGGATCTTCCACTACCTGACTGTTCCGGTTCGATCCGTCGATGCCGCGTGTATACCTTCTTTTTTTCCCTCTCCATCCTTTATCATCATTGCTATCACCTTTGATCTCTATATTTCATCTTCATAATCTCCAAATTATATTTCATTGAGCAAATATACTTCGGACCGGAAAAAGAATACCCCAGGCCCACAACGCACGTGCTCCGGATATATAGTCACTGAGCATCAATCACCTGATCATCCCCTTCAATTACTTTTGTCCAGTCGCTTTACTTATGCTCCGTTTTCTCAGATAAAAATGACGTTCATGGGTTTAAAGGGCTCTGGTGCACAAATGTGACGCCAGTGAAAATTCTGAAACAACCTCACATATATACATCTTGCACACAGGGGTAGTGACTATATATTCCTGGACCCGGCCCTATTGCCAGTGTAAGTTTTTACTACACACACATTACTCCGCTGCCTGAGTATCGCCTAAGTATTGCAGGACAGAAACCAACCGTGAGCATTAGATTACCTCCAGATGCTAGCAATGTGTTTGACCAGGGAACCCAATTTTCTGTGGACGATGGCAAGGTATTCGTGTTCGGCTTGAAGGATGTCACAACCGCCATGGATCAGCACCGATCTGCTCATTTAAATCGTCTTTGTTTGGTCCAACGATCATCGTGTCTTATAAAAGCACCAATGGAAAAAAAAAAAAAACACCCACCGCTATTGGTTTATGAGGTGGACTAATTTTGAAGTCGAGGAATCGGGGTTCACAGATCCAAATGTTTCTACTTGATAGAATAGTACATTGACAGCCACTTGAAGCCCACCTCCCCACCTCCCATACACATCATGACACTGACACTCAAGCCGTGGTAGACTCAACCTCGACGTGGTCAGTATCAATGTGCTTCTCATTCTTGAGATCCTCCAGCACCTCAACACCAGCAAGACCAAGGCTCTCATTGATCCGCATCATGCGCAGGCGGTCAGCTTCAGCAATGCTATTCGAATCACCACCGAAGAAGACATCCAACTCCTCAAGTGTCTTGTCCTTGGTCTCAGGGGCAAATTTCCAAATGAACAAACCACCCAAAGCACTGAAGACGGCAAAGAAGATATAGGTGCCATACTTCATTGTGTTCAGCATATCCTTGGTGGTAAGGCCGATAATGAAGTTGAACATCCAGTTGGTGGAAGCGACAATCGAGACACCGCGGGAGCGCTGACTGTTGGGGAAGATTTCCTGGGCCAAAACCCAAGCGACGGGTCCTGTTCAATAAAGTGTTAGCTTGATGTTACATATGAGCTGCGGATATGGTTAACATACCCCAAGAGTAAGCAAAGTTAATAGCGAAAAGCCAGATGAAAGCAATGGCAACCCAGCCTTGGGTGGTGGCAAGTCCCTCGTGCAAGTTCCACTTGTCCTCATATATACCCTCCACAATGGCAACAATAATGTGGCAAAGGAACATGCCGGCAGCACCGACAATGAGGAAAGTCTTGCGGCCGAACTTGTCGAGGTAAAGGACGGTGGGTAGGGTGAAGAGAATCTGCAGGATACCAGTTACACCAGTGGCAAGAAGGGTTGTCTTCGTGGACGAGAACCCGAACTAAGAAAAAGAAAAGGAGTTAGCAACCATCTCTCGGAGCGAAACCAAAAGGGAGTTTGAGAAAGAACGAGTCACTCACCGAGGAGAAAATCTGGGGCGCATAATAGAGCACGGCGTTGATACCAGTGAACTGCTGGAAGATCATCATACCGCAACCGAGCGTCAAACGCTTGAGCATGTTGGGGGCAAACAGGGCTTTCCAGGGAGCCAAGATACCTCCAGCTCCAACAGCCTCATTCTCAGTCTCTTCATCGAACATGACAGCAGCCTTGATCTCAAGGTACTCCGCGCGAACAAGTGGATCGTTCACAGGGAGGCGACGCAGCCTAGAGATAGACTCCTTTGCCTCTTCATCGCGGTGCTTCATCATCAACCAACGTGGCGAGAAGGGGAAGAAGAAGAGACCGAAGAACAGGATCCAAGCGGGGATAATCTGCAAAGCCAAAGGAAGTCTCCACGAGATCGTCTTCTGGCCCATGCAGGTATGACCGTTGTTCTGAGCAGCATTGTACACCCCGTCCAGGTAAGGGTTCGCAATACCCTCTGGGTTACAGGTGTTGCCGCCGACAAATTGCATGCCATAGTCGAGCCAGAAAGAAATCGCGGTACCGATAGTGATTGACAGCTGCTGCAGGGAAACAAGGGATCCACGCAGCTCAGGGGGAGCGATCTCGGCTTGGTACAGTGGGATAACCATACTGAACATACCGATACCCACACCACCGATGATTCTGCCGGCGAAGAAGTAGGCAGGAGTCTGTGCGCCGGCCTGGAGACCAGTTCCCAGGGTGAAGATGACGACGGCAACCATCATGGCGTACTTGCGCGAAATGCGATCTGCGAGAACACCGTTGATCAAAGCACCGGCCCAGGCACCAAGCTCGAGGGCCGACACCAACCAACCCTGGATCGTGGATCCCATGAGTGTGGGGAAGTGGTTTTGGAAGTTTTCCATGACGAGAATAGGACCCATCACACCCTGATCGTATCCATACATTATACATCCAAGCGAGGCAAACAAACAAGTAAAGAAGACATATGGGTTTGAAATGAAACCTTTGAGACCGTGAGGCTTCTCTGCATTGGCACGGCCAACCACAGACTGACTGATTGCCATTTTGAAGACAGAGTTAGGACACGAGAAAATGAAGAAATGGAATCCGATGAAAGAAGAAAAGCATGCTAACCAGGCAGATTATATAGCACTGGGACTATATCTACCTTTGACCTTTTTTTCTTTTTCCCCTGACATTCTGGGGTTAGAGCTCACAAGGGCCTTTCCCGGGACTTCGCAACAAAAACAGCCCGAACCGAAGATTTCCTATGGGGCCTCCTTGATCATTCGATGCCATATGCTGCAGTCAACAGCACGCTAAGTCCAAATTCGGAGGACTAGACGACATTCGTAAATGACGCGATTCGGACATAGGGGCATGCATATAATATGGTCGAATGCCAAGGTGTGCCACAAGCCAAAAGAAGCATCAAGCCAGTAGGCTCGGCGTTTACTGGGCACCTTGGATGCGCATTTCTCAGAGAACAAGCCTCTGGGTCCGAGAGCGCCATAGCTTGGCGCCATCGGATTATGATTTGAGATCCGAGTGTCACCCTGAAGCATTTTGCAATGTCGGTGCCCTCCCACTGCATGGGGCAATACTTAGTGCTTACCGCACTGGCAAATCAGATGCAGTTAGATATACCATGATCCCTGCAAATCCGACAATTGACCGATAAGAGGCGTTGAAATCATATTCTTGACTGATCCACCACATTTCGAAGGTCATTTCGGACATAGAGATGTACAGGGGGCGGGCAATCTTCAGATTTGCTATTTTTGATATGAATCAATGTGCCCTAGATGGTACACTACAACAGTAACATTCTAGAATACATAATATGCGCGCCACAAGCTGTCTCCCCATTTCTTTCCGCGGATTGGCTGACTTTCGGCTTCTAGCCTCGGATTCTGAGGAAAACAATCAAATTCTGGCCCCCATAGTCAATTTCTAGTTAGCGGCCTCTATTTCGGTATTGGCTTGGCTCAGGATTGGCTAAAAACCTCGGGGAACCGAGAAGACGCGTGGTCTTCCTATCTTCCAATAGGATTCTCATTTTACCCGTTCCAGACGTTCAGTGAGTTGGATTCTGGAGATGAAATATGGGGCGTTCACTTATGCTATTCTTCATTTGTGACTCATAAGCTGTTCTTTGAAGCTGTTCTTAAAGTCCCGAGCGTTGTTTCCGACTTTTCCGGTACAATGCCGGGGTATGGGGATGTCAACGGGATGCCCCATGGGGCCTCGTCATCTAGAGGGACCAATGAGTCCGGCTTTGAAATCTCGCCAATTCGGGTAAAGCTGAAAATGCTGGGAATTCTGCCTCTATACCTTCACTGGTCATTTGTTTTTAATTACGAGGATGAAAAGGAGGTAAAAAGCGTAAGAGTAGAGAGTAATGATAGGAATATTCCCAACCCTAAGTATTACACAGAAACCACTACTCCTTGGAATGCCGTCTTCAGTCGTTATCTAAGGACATGGGTCTGTCTTTGTTGCCCCAAGTCACCAGCGCACTGTGGTGATTGTGGAGAAGAATATCTCTGCACCCGAAATAGAACAAAGAGGTTATCCAATCCCCAGATCCAAATTAAGAATCGAATCTGTACAAATAACTCTTATTATTTTAAGTTGGTTATGGGATTTAAGGGGACAAAGTGCTGTTAATAACGTGCATTGTACATATGTTTCAATTATACTCTTTGAAAAGACAAAGGTATAGTTCCTTGGGCTCTTTGTCGTCGAATACAATCTCCAAGTCTCGATACCCAGATCTCCAAGGCTATATAAAGCCCTCCTTCCTTTGAAAACTAGACATACATCAAATTATCCACCACTCCTCGCTATTCCAGTCTTCTGGCTCCAGGTTTCGCGATTCCCTTAGCCCAGTGATCAAGCACCACTTACAAGTCTTCCTTTCCCCTCGGTACGAACAAAAATTTCGAGAATCATGTCAGCTAACTACAACTGGAAGGCTGTCCATCCGGTCTACGGAGTCCCCATTTCCGTCGTGGAAGCCACGGAGCAACCTATAATCCGCTGCGACGTTCGACAGAAGCACAACCTTCCTTCTAGATCATGGGCGGTCCGTATCTCCACATGGATCAACACTAACTATTTCTTATGGTCTTTGTGCGCTGGTCTAGCAGATTATCGCTCTGACGAGGAGTGGACGACTACCTTCGACGCCCACTATCGTCAGACCTGGGACGAGATCCAGGCTAGGGTCCAGGAGATCGACGGACCTTATAGATTCGGCATGCCCATTCCGATGCCCCCAGTCGCGAAGGCTGTCGTTATCCACCACCCCGAGAGTGGCCCTGCGGAGACATTCACAGTTGGTCCGGAGCCTCGCCCGTCCCATCTGATCCCTCGGGTGACTAGTATGCCTCGATATGCTGTATGGAGTCTCTTGCGCTTTGTGACTGAACGTCAGTCCTCTGTACCTGATCAATTTGACGTAGTGCTCGATATGTCATCGCCGGCGCCGTCGCGCCCTGTACGTACGCGGATTGGCCAGGGCGTGGCTAGAAAGGGCGTATCTCAAGGCGACTTGAAGGATAACGATAACGTGATAGACACATACTATCAGTTTGGAAATTGAGATTCAATATGAGGTAAGTGCTGTGTTTGGTTTCTTTCGGCTTTCTTATATAAAATAGTTCCAGTACTCTCGAAAAGAAATCACGGTTTATTCTGATCATTGGCTCTCCAGGCATGATAATAGTAACCCAGTAAGAACTTAGTAATCGCTGCAATGCCCGATACGAATGAGCCTTGTAAGGGCTTAATATAATTCTAAGCACCGGTGCAAAAGCCAACTTGGAGCAGTTGAAGGGTGATCTATTCAGCAACTCAAGTCAGTCCTACTGATCTAGCTACGCTTACGAGGGGAGATAACAAGGAGAAATATGATAATGCTCCAGGAACCTTGGAACAAACTACGGCATGGGGGGAATCAATCCTCCGGGGCTATGCTCAACAAGTACCTAGTAAGAAACGTACCTCAAAGACACTTCGGCAACTAAGTCACAAAGCCAGGCTAAGATGCAGCGGGCCTTACTGCATGTAGTCACAAGGACATAAAGGCCCAAGACGGAACATGAAATCAATATACAGACATACTAATCCGTACAACAGGATCAAGTGGTCAGTGAATCTTTATCCCAAGCGAAGAGTAGTTTCATTGAATCGGTCAGTCTAAACACAGCGCTGGGGACGTTTCCCCCTCAGATCGAAGCCATAGCAAATGCAAACAATTAAGGCGGTGGGGGAACAGAAAAGGCTGCGTGGTACATGACAGATGAAGATAAAACAAGAGAAGCTAATAAGCATATTGAAGCAAATAAGAGCAAGAGAAAGACAAAGGCCAAAGCGATGAGCCCAGAGGCTGACGACGTCAGACGCACCGAATGACAGCGATGTATGTATACTTTCAGATCATGTCGGCATGGGCTGGCATCATCGATGTGGCGGGTATGTATGCAGGATAATATGTGTTGCTCGTGAAGGCGTCTCAAAGTTGCCAGGGGATTAACCATAGTTTTCAATTCAGGGCTTGGGCTCTTATTTTCTGTATCCTTCTAATATGTTCCGACGGGCCGATGCCAATGCATGCACCCTCAGAACTGTTCCATGGCGGTGGAGGAGAAACCGCCCGGCTTCATGTGCTGCTGTTCTGCGTGTTTTGCACAGCTGCACGCATAAGAATGGATTAGAAGACGGAGAAGGAAACCGAGCGACAAGTGGGTATCATAATGAGGTTGTTTTCGAATGACGCAAGATTAATGGAGGTCGAAAGGCGCCAAACGACAGAAGAGAAAGAAAAGGTGGGCAAGGATAATTCTCATTTCCAAAGTTAGTCGGGGTTGGTAAGCTAGAAATCAATTAGCAAGATTATTTCGCCAGTATCCACAGGGCACTGTTCAACTTACCCGAAGAACAGGACGCGAGTAGTCTTCGTTGTCTTGCAGCGAAATACTACTATCCCGAGCACCGTGTGGGTAGAGAGTCGTGTTAGTTTTCATTCGCCGATCGGTGAATGTTGTAGCCGAACGTGCGGGCGCATTTCCACCAGTACCACCTTCTCCGTTGCCCCGTGGGAAGAAACCTCCCATGAAGCTCGATCCTCTGCTGGTTCTGTCGTCGGCCATATCCTGGCTAGGGATAGGGCTGACGGCACGAGCGCGTTTGCGATATAAGAAGATCATGAAAATGAGAGCACCGATCAGGGCAATTCCTCCGATAACACCAATCACAATACCTGCGATGGAACCTCCACTCAATGTCGAGCTACCGGCAGCGGTGGCGTTAGCCGATGCCGAATCAGCGCTAGCGCCAGCAGTTGAGCTTGAACCAGCAACGGTGATTGTCCTGACTTGGCCGCCAGAGTTGGTCTGCACCGAGACACTAGCCGAAGTAGTGGTTGTTTTCTCATCCGATGAAGTTGACTAGGATCAAAAGTTAGCCAAGTGTGTCTAACCAAACCGGTCGTGCTGAAAATACAGTTTGTGAAGCCGAGGTGGAAGAAACCGAGGCAGTCACAGTGACAGTTTCAGGCTGAACGCTGGTACTTTTCTATCCCTTATATTAGAGCCACAGGCCAAGAAAGAGTAGAACACCCAATCATGCTACACGGGCTGGCGGGAGATTTATCGGTCCAAAAACAAAGCAGGAAGGGTGGCTTACCGAGGTTGAGGTTGAAGTTGAGCTTGTCTCCGACGACGATGCAGAAGAGGTGGTTTTTGAGGTTGATGAACCACCAGCTGTGCTAGTCACATCGTTGTTGGGGATCCTCACGTAGGCGAACACTCCTTTGGATGCACTTCCACAACTGTCTGAGGGATAACCCGGACAGGGAGATTTACAGTCGGAGGTTTCGGATTGTGACCCCTTAGAGGGAGCAACATTGGAGCACCAGCATTTCTTCCCTTGTAGGATACCTAGGGCGTAATCGGCGCAAGTAATTGTACACGCTCCATTTGATTGGAATGTGTCGGTAACTGTAAAGAGTCAGCGATATGGCTCAATCTATAAAATTTTGCGCAATCACTTACCTGCTTTGAAGGAAGAACCCGTGTTGTCTGAAGCACAGTACGCAAGGCTAGATGCAGCCGACGCGAATGGAGCGACGAGCGCAAAAACCGACACCACCACCGGGACCTTCATGATGGGTGTGCTCGATCAATGATTGCGTATCAAACCAGATCGTCCGTCGATATTTGTGGGTTTCGTTATTTTCCTCCGAGATCTCGTCGTGGGGGTAGCGGTAAAAAAAAAGAAAGTTCGCAGGCGCAGAGTGAAGATCGAAATTGGCAGTGTGTGGACCGACCGATGTGAATTGTCGATCACCCAGCGTGCGGTAGTGTTTGGACGAGGAATCTAATATCTGGCAAGTCGATCGAACAGGCCCCAATTGTTATTTGTTGATCCCCCACTAAACGAAACTGTCGGATGTTGTCCCGTGTCAAAGACACATTGTCTCTCGATGGATATCTCCAAGGGCTAGGCAACAAAATAACAAGAAAATAATGAAAGGAAATGACGAGAGAGTGTGAAGTCGAGAGTAGAGAGAGAGAGAGAGAGAGAGAGAAAAGAGAGGGAAGAGGAGAAGGGGAATCTCCACAGTCACGGGCCTATCCTACATCCTCATCGGAGTATGTCGAGCTTCCCGACATACCCGGTGGAGACTGATTTTCCTTATTTTACTAGATTTACTGGATTTACTGGATTTACTGGATTTACAATTATTAAAGATCTATATATTGTAGCTCATTTACCGGAATATTCTCTTTTTTTTTTAGGGCCCTTAAGTAGATTTGTTATCTTCAGGTGAAGAGAGCCTATAAAAGGCCATCCTATCATTGTTATAAGCAAGGTAGTATAACAGGTATAACAGAACAGGATAACAAAAAAATAACAGGCCTAACACGGTATTTTATTGATTTTTTTCCTAAAGCTCTTTTCTCCACTGAAATCGCCCGACTGGCAGACCAGATTTTCCTGTACCAAGGAAACATTCCACCCTTCATACCTTTTTTTTTTTCTTTTTCGATCTCAATCTCTCTACCCGCTAATAATGTATCCATCTGCCTTTGTTCTTTCTTATCCGAAACAAAGGGGATCGCCAGTGCATTTATGACCAGGGTTATACCTAGCGTCAGTGTAGACGTAATTGAGTGGAGAGAAAAGAATGTTGGTCTAACTTTGGACTTGCCTTTGTGTATATGATTATTCTTGGTTTGGAATTATTTATAAGTATAAAGCTCTCTACTCCAGAAGCTTCGAGACTAAATCCAAGTTCATGGCAGTGTTGAGCTTCCAAGGTTGGTCTCAATGCAGCTTATGTATGGGACACCGAATTGTCATTGAGCCAAGGTGATATGATAAAATGACCACCTGTCAACTTGGAACTTGTACAATGTGCCCTAGGCCGTGAGGTAACACATGGAATTCAATCATTCTACAACATAGGAATGGTATCTTGTACGGAATACACTGGTGGCTCTCGCACCCCATGCCCAGACAACAATCGAGTCGAGAGATCGCTGTGATTTGCCGGATCCAAGCGAGTCTTCCGTGATGAAACAACGTTGGGGTTTAATTACTACGTACCCCCATTTGCTCTTTTCTGTCTAGGATGTATTTAAACTAATGACATAGGAATCTTAAAACTGGTGCAACATAAAAACACCAATATTGTACTCCGAAGAGTCGCCCCTTTTTGAAATTCTCTTTCGACTCATCCGATGTGAGATCATAAATTATCCCACTCATCTCCCAAGTGGAGAATCTCCACTCGGGGGATTAACAGTGTAAAAACGTAAAATCGTTACAACCCGATCTTGAAATTTCCATGGCAAACCCGCTCAGGAAGGATTTGAGATTCCCTGTTACACAAATATTACCTGGTTTGATTGGACCTTTGAAGGACCTGGACAGTATGTTCGCCAAATGCAGAACTAATATGCGATAACACCCAATAGTTTAATAATCCAATCTTCAAGGCAATAATAATATTAGTTAATACTCCATGGTGTGTGACTTCATGGTGTGTGTTGGATCTTGGACAATGCCAAGATAAGCCCTGGAGTGATGATGTGGCCGTGTTAATCTGCTTAGGTGGCTGAGACAAACCCACCAAAGGGAACCCACGTAATCTCCTGGCCATCGGATTCGCTGTAGGGTTACGGAGTACTCGGTACTCGATCAGGGTTCTCCTTGGTTTTGTACTCTGGTATCCAAGATTCGGCGAGGCTAAGGAAACGATTCAATTATTGTAATTGTGCCTGGTGGCTTGCAGGTGGCGTCCTGTTCTGAAACAAGTCTACTCCGTACAGTGACGATCACTCGTTGCAGCCTGCATGAGGCATCCGCGAACCAGATGTAGTTGAAGGTTCACATCTCGTGTTCCAAGTAGTTTACAAAGTCTGTGATTATTTGACATCAATCAACATATTCGTGTTAACGGGTGTTACAGGATACATTGGCGACCTAAGAATAACCGGAAATCAACCGGTCTGTACTGTACTGTACATGGAATTGTGTTGGACGTGCACGCGTCAATCAACTGTCACCTCAGAAGTCAATAGATAGATGGCCAGTCCCAGAGATCACATCCATCAAACTAGATGAACTTCCTGAACCCGCTGAACCCGCTGAACCTTCTGAACTCGCTGACCTCGCTGACCTCGCTGAAGTCGTCGAAGTCTGGCTAACGTTGCGAGGACGGTTGATGTCGGACCCTGGCAGAGGGCCAATCATCGATGCGCTGATATCCTCTACGAATTCGGATTCGGGAGGGGAATCGGATGAAAAAGAAGAATTAACCCAAGCCAGAACGTCGTCCTCATTTTCCAGCTCGGAAGGCTGCTTCGGGCTGGGTTGGGGCTGGGTAGTCATTTGGGATTGGGTAGTCATGGATGAGCTGTCATCGTATTCCTCATCATCTTCGTCGAAGAGGGTGGCCGCAGCGGACAAGGAGATCAGTCGATTGAAATGCCACTGCATATCCAGCAAGTCAAAACTCGGAAGCGGTCTCAGGTCGGGGTCGTCCGTTGTCATTCTAAAGCGGTAGCCGGATTCAATGACACGATAAGATGGTTGGCCTCGCACCCCTACAGCCACGACGAGTTTATCCACGCTGTTGACTTTCTTCGTAGAGACAGGCAGCTTGGCCAAATCAACCACGTCGTACAGCCCATGGTTTTGCTTTGGCTGCCAGTAAAACTCAAGCTCCATTTCGGTCATATCCTTAGAAATCCAGACGGGGCGAAGGGCGAACAAACCAGATGTCCATGCTGACCGAATATCTCGGCGAAGGCAGATCAGATTAGAGCAATCATTGACAGGGCTCTGGGGTGCAATTGGGTTATTGAAAACGGCTCGTCTCCATCTTTGAACTGTGGTCTTTCCCCAGAACATATCCACGAACCTCCAAATGGTAGGCGAAGCCGGGTCATCGTGCAAGCGGGAACTGGCTAAGCCAGCCGGGAAGATTTGAGTGGTTTGATAGACCTTGCGGGTGCCGGTGAGGACGCACTTGTGTCCATCTCGTTCTCTGGCGGCGTAGATTGCAACTGGGGCAATATTTGTCGGCAGACCGAAAGTGAAAGGCGGCAATGCTGAATCTAGTTGGGAGGGAGATGGTTTCACCGTCCATTTGAATGGAAGAGCACAAGCGAGATCAGCCAGGATATCCATCATTTTCAGTGAAAAGTAGGCGATTTGTACAATGTACTCAAGCTTCTCAAGGTCGCACAGCTGAACAACGGCCCAGAATGGGGTAGGGACTTCTTGTTCTAGAAGGGCTTTCTTGAGACGGCGAATCATAATCTTCCGCTGGGTGGACGGAATATTGAAATTCTCGTCATTTACACGAACAACAGTAGGTGAGCGGTCTAGTTCCGAGGAACTTGACGGAAGAGTAGGCGTAGATGCGTTTGACATCTTGATCACGTGGAGGCACATCTGGATCAATAAGACGGTGAATGTCGCTGGTATCCGATCTGCGCACGTGAACTTGGACGTGATAACGAAAGAAGAGCGTTTGTTTTGATCTTTACGTATTTAAATGCCCTGGAAACCGGGCGTTCTCATTCGCATTCAGGGAAGGAACCTGTGGACTTCACGGATATCACCTTACATACAAAACGTCGATGGTACTTTCCCGCAAAAACATTTGGATCATCAAATCATCATAGGTCATAGGTCGTAAACATCACAGGTAGCATTACCTCCGAGCATCCATCCATTCTCGATCTCGAATATCCCGCATGCGCTTCTCCACCATCCGTACCCGCGGAGGCATTCCCACACGAGGTCTAATATGGGGTATGGTATCAGGCACAGAGGCTCGCTCCCGCTGAATATCACGAATGCGTCTACGACGAGCACTTCGAATCTCGTCGGACAATTCAACAAGCTCGTCTATGTCCTCCTGTGGCCAAAATGAGTCAGAATTCAACAGAACGGTTGTCTGTTCGGATGATACATACCGACTTGAGGTAGGAGAAGATATAGTAGGATGCCCTCGTCTCTTCATACTCGAATCCCATGCGTTCAATGGCTTCCCTTACTATCAGTTTCCTAGATATCTCGGTCCACCGGTCATTTCGTGTCTCCTCCGGCTCTGTGACATGCTGAGCAACTCGTCCCACTTCGACTTCATCCACTGGCACATGTCGGGGTTTGACCTCCACAACGTCCAGGGCTCCGGTCATCTCAATGGCTTCCTCCTGGGATGGAGCATGTACCACAGACCAGTCGTCTGTGCCTCTGGGGGCCGTGTCCGCTATCCGAGTGCTCTCGATCATTATATCCTCTTCCACGTCACGCATGGAAGGAGTGTTCTTTAGGCCGTGAGCTAACTCGCTCTTGTCTAGTGGCTTGGGTCGACGATGAGCTGCGGATATGGCTTCCCGCTCCCATGGATCTGTGAAATCAAGAGCTGGGCTGCTAGTCGGAGATATCGAATCTTCCGGAGTAAGAGACTCTTCACTGTCACGGTGTTTGAGTATGTTTTCCTCTGACACTCGTCCCCCTCGCGTTTTCCTAGACAAGGTGTTAGCATATGGCAAAGAAGAGGATTGGTCTACTCACCGATGGTGAACATCAATCTCATCAAAGCTACCTCTCCGGGATCGCGGCTCCGGACTGCGCGCACGAGGTGTGTGGGCGTCTTTATAGCCTGAGTTTGGTTAGATGAATGGTCTTGCTGAGCTATCAACATCATTCTTACCATGGTCAAGGTGTCTGTGGTGGGTAAAGACGTCTTGGTGGATTGGAGGTACATGTATCGAATCCAAAGAAGGCGAAGGTTGGCGAGATGGGAGCTTATCCTTTGTTTTCCGAATACTGATCTCTTCCCTAACCTCTTCAAGGTCTCGAGAGCGTGACTTGGAGTCGGCCTGCGCACGCATACTAAGCTCTTCATTCACTGGGACTTGTTGTCTAACATCTCGCCGAAGACCCCTTAATTCGCGTTCGAGATCCTCCGAAGGTACACTGCGTCGTCTGTCACGTCGTTCGCGTGTAATGATTTCCTCGTCAACACGGTCAATTGGTCGTGGTCCTTTGTCCTTCCGTCGGGTGAGCACATCGTCTTCAGATTCTTGATCTGAAAATTCGATTGGGCCTCGGCGTCGCCCTGGGGGTGCATCGCGAACGACTTCTTCTACCTCGACCCTTTGGGGAGGTGGAGGCCGTACCCGTGGCCGTGGTCGGTGGTATGTTTCTTCTTCCTCGAATTCCAATCTCCTTTCACGCGATCGAATGTTGAGTTCGCTGTCCCATCCGCGGCGTAAAGGCGGTTCTTCCCGTTCTTTCCGTCGGATTAACATCTCCTCTTCCTCAAATTCAGGCTCGGGTCGGTATCTTCTTCCTCCAGGTTTCCCCCGCTCGTCAACTAAGAGATCCTCTTCCAGCTCCCTTTCTGGACGTCGCCTGCGGCGTTTTTCTCTCTCCTCGAAGAGAAGGTCGTCTTCCGACCTTCGTTCTGGGTGACGCCTGCTCCCTCTGTGCATTTCTCTATCTTCGATGATCAAATCTTCCTCTTCAATTTCCCGGGGATGGCGCCTACTTCCTCGAGCTCTTTCCCGTTCGATGATAAGTTCCTCATCCTCATCAAATTCTGGCTCTGGGCGACGCCTCCTACCACTGCCTCTCTCCTTTACTCGTTCCTCAAACATAAAATCCTCTTCAGGTACTCGCTCTGGGCGATGCATTCTGTCTCGTCTTTCGTCGATGAAATCATCTTCAACTTCTCGCTCTCGTTCAGGACGATGCCTCCTATCCCCACGCCTTTCTGTCTCCTCAAAAATCAAGTCCTCGTCAACCTCTCGCGGATGACGTTGACTACCCCGGCGCCTCTCTCGCTCCTCAAAAATAAGCTCCTCCTCGTCTACTTCACGAGGACGAGGTCTGCGCCGAGGCTCAGGCGGCCGCATGTAGACATCATCGCGGTCTAGGCGCATAGAACGCTCAGGCGAGACCATATCTACCTCCTCCCTTGTCCGCATGCGAACCACGTCATCCCGCATTCGCGGCGGCGCAAATCTCTCTTCCATGAAGTCTCGCCTAGGACGTTCTCGGATGTGCATATGCTCCATGTCCTCAACTAGAGGTTCGGACCTTCGCCGACGATATTCCTCTTCCTCGTAGCCGCGATCTCGTCGGCGCGGCTTGTGGTGTCGCTCACGCTCTCGTTCCATTTCGTAGAACTCATCTTGCTCGTCGTAGTTGCGGGGTGGTGCTCGGCGGGACATTGTGGGAACGTGTGAGTGATCACCGCATCGGATTTGGTGATCGATCAGCCGTGTCTATGGTCGGAAATATCTCGACCGCTATGAGAAAACTCTTAGATTTTCTTTGTCACAGAACCTTGTCAAAGGGGTCGGTTCAAGATAACAGTCAAATTCTGTAGTTGGTGACTTGGTGGGGCTTGCGAAAAGGAAGGCGGGCGGTGCTCTAGTCAAAATCACCCAGTTGGGCAGCTAATGATAGTACAACCAGTAAGGTAAATAGGTAGATCGATAACCGACAGAGTACAGGAAAGCCCTACAGCTTGGATATATGGAAATGGAAGTGTGACTTGGAGGAACGGAAAGCAAAGTGATCGACCCCGCGGCTGATGTCACTGGGCTCTCTTAGAGAGAATCTAGAGATGAACCCTTCATGTTCAAGATCTTTGCATTTGTTTTACTCCCCAGGTCCAAATGTTAAAGTTCTACCTACCTACCCCGGAATCTTAGCTAATACTGCCACTAGAACCTTGGTTCTCTTCTCAAAAAACCGTCGGTTTGGGTGCTGAGAACCTTGGGTATCCGGGTGGGGTCTATAATGCTTGGCGTCATCTTTCTTGTGCCCAAAACACATCGAGCCCTTTGTTTATCGGCTCGAGCCTAATGTGCATTGTTGGGTGCCCCCGTGAAGTTGACCACCGGCTACTGCATACCAGGTTTAAAACTGGATACACTAATCCAGAGATGTCAAGCTAGCTCTTCAGGGATGCTATTTACATTGACAACGAGCAACACAAAAGTAGGAAGCAATCGATAGTAGTCCGCTCAATCAGACGATAGTATGGTGTTGTGCAAGGCATTGGGTATATCATAGCTATAATAGCGCGAGTGAAAGCAGATCGTAAAAGTACATGAGAGAACAGAATGGCATAGGGCTCATAAGTCACTGGAAAGCAAGTCGCATCTGCCCCTTTTCAGTTTTACCCCGACTCCCTCCACCTCGGCCAGCTCTCCCACGAGCAGTTGTACCGCGTGCACTACTTTTCGTGGGCGGTGGGGGATGTGAAACCTTCGCCGCCTCTCTGTCCTGGCATGCGAGGTCCTTGGCAAAGTGCCAATCATCATGTTCTTCCTTTTCATACTCTAACATCGACTTAGAGCACCGTGGACATACGAACCGAGGAATTCCGCTCAGTTCGGGGTCCATTTCAACAGGTTCTTGGGCGCTGTCTGGCTCATCTGCAGCAGTAACTTCAAGATGTGATGAGTTCCCAAAGAAACTACTTATCTTACCCCCGTCTCCTTCAAGCTTTCGTCTTTTCTCGGTTGGAGCATGTTCACTGGGGGAATTATCGACGTCTCGGGGTCTCGAAGATTGGCTCAGAGTTTTTGCTTGATCACCGCGAACTAAGAAGCCCTCAATAGCCTTGTTATTGGTCACGCCGTCTTGAAAGCTTGACACGCTCAACGACAGGTTGGAACAGGGCCACGCCTGTCCGTCAGCCACAACTTGACGAAGCAAAGTAGTGGCTAGATCGTAGAGAAGGTTCTCGTTGATTGCGTTAGAGCCAGGAATTGGAATTTGGCGAGAACGAGATTGCGCTGCTCCAGTTCGATGGTGCATTGTAATCACTTTCGGACGGCGTCTATTTTCAAGCACGCCGTCTTCCACAAGCCGGCCATATATATCGGCTGCGAAGATACGAAGCCATTTTTCGGCCTGCTCAAGTGACCTGATGCTCGGTCTGAAAGACTTCGCGGATAGCATAGATTTAATTTGTGTTCGGGGGTTGACCTCGCTGCGGTCATCACCACGGATGATCCCGTAAAGCCAGGATGCCGTGTGGTCATCCAGCTTACTGCGTAGTTGCTCAAGCGGTACGTTGAGAAGCTCGCTAACTTTCTCCGTCCCAAATGCGGTAGTTATTTGATCGCCGAGTTTACCACCCAGCATTCTGATCTGAGTGAATTTATAACCATTTAGGAAATTCTGCACCGCCCGGTTCCGTACAACGGTTTGTAGGTTGGGCTTGTTGCAAGCACTTCCTAGTTTCGCGATCATTTTATTGCGGCCAAGCCCAGCTGAACAAGTATAGCTGAGCTTCTCCCAAACTGCCTTCCGGACCCATCGTACAATCTCAGATCCTATCAGCATGACAACGTCATCCCAGTCTGGATCATCTTCCTCCGTTTGGTGTTGATCCAGGTCCACCAGGCAGTCGGTGTCCCACTGTAAGGCTGTGGTTGGCGGTATAGGTAGTTCTGTATCCCGGTCCTGGTCTTGTGTTCCCGTCCGAAGCTCTGGGTATCTCTGGAGAAGCGCCCTATATATCAATGGAGACAAATCAATGAATACTTCATCAATACTGGCTTTTTCCAGCATAGCTGAGAGTTCTTGCTTCGGATTCTGGAGTTCGACTTCGGTGTCATCGGCGTTCCATGTGGCCAGAGCCTCCTTCATCGTCTGGAGAATCTTTCGTGATTGTTCTCGGTACGGATCTAGCGACACCTTGTCCGTGCTGATGTTTCTGAATGAGTCATCTCGATATGCCCACCTTCCTCCCTCTCCCTCTCGAAAAGTCGCGACATGTTGTAAGACGAGATCTGGACAAAGTTTCCTGGCCTCCGCAACATTGATCAATCGACTGATTCCGAACGGGCGGGCAGCGTAATTGATGGCAATTAAAGAGTCCCATTGCCGTACTGCCAATGGTATATCCCGTGGAGTCCCCAGGCGGACCATCTCACATTGCGCATAGAAGGCATCCAGATCGATATGCGCAACCACGCGTAGAGGAGTTGCGGTGGATCCCTGTCGCAAGCCTTGTAATTGTCGATAGGTAAAACGGGAGACCTTCAAGGGATCGGACGACTCGGTAGGTTCGGACATCCTCGCACGTGCATCATGACGGTGAACGGATCATTGGGGCGTCGAAGTCGGTCAAGAGCTTTGAATCTGATGCTTTCAACCTTGGAACGAATGCCTAAAATGGACTAGTGCGGGCACGTGTGAGCTTCCGCCTGAGCTTCATGTTTGTTGTCTCATTTCTTCGATTTTCATTTTCCATAGCATTTTAATGTTCTTCTAAAATAATTAGACAGGCTCAGAGACAGCCATAATTCATTTTTCTATATTCCCCAGAGTTAGAGACCAGGGATGGCCAAATGACCCATCACATAGTGCCTGCTTATTTTTTCTTCAACCACCCTGCACTGTCAGATGTCGTGTTCTCGTGCAGAATTTTTCGATGTTGTAACTCGCCCACTGCAAGTCTCGAACATGAGAAGAAAAAAAAGAAACGAGACAGGGTGATCTCCGATCTGTGCGATCCAGCTGACATTGGCGGGCTGTGAGTGGACAAGAGGTTCGGAGGCTTCGCGCAGGTGCCCAAAGCCACGCATTCCTGCCCAACGGTCATCTCGTGTGGGCATCGCAGCTTTTCAAGTGGCAAGTTCACAGGTTGCCACCGGTCTTTGCTGTCAACAGATTGGCCCTTGGCTGTCATGCTCTTTTACAGATGGTGTGTGAGGGATCAATCACAATGAGTCCTATGATTTGCCCCCTCAACACTGCCCTCTCACACCATACATATGAACATATGACAGCTTTGGATGATCTTATTCCCTATCAACAGCTCTGCTTGACCGCTGCTGAAGATCCACTGGTGGAGTCTTGTAGAGTTTTGATATTAATCCGGCCCAGGGGCACAGACTAAGGAGCAATCCAAGCTGGTTGAATATGGGGGATCGGCCCTTATTTTCTGTCGTCCCAACTAAAATCTAGTGGGAAACAAAGAGCAAGCTATTTGGAGTCTAGTTTTAGGGTGTAAAGTACATCTCTAAATAAGTACTTCGTACATTTGTCTACTTTTGATTACTTTTGTCTTACATTTTGCCAACTGGAAGGTTGACTAAAAGGGGAGTATGTCCATAGGTATGTTGACTCTTGAGTACTCTGTACCTCCGTAATCATAAATGATACAAAATGAAAATTTTCAGCGGCTACAGGCATAGGGTTGCACATTAGTCTAATCCACATTTGACCGTGCATGCTTTTGCCTTGATCTCAGTGGGGAGTCGTGGCACCAGCCCAAGACGGCCCAACCGCCCTGGCCCTTTGAAGTCCACTTTACCTCCCCCCCCCCCCCCTCCTCGTTTCTCTCTTTCTTTTCCTTCTATTCCTCTGGCTTCTCTTGCCAGTTCCTCTACTCTTTTCCCCCTTGGCAAATATCTAGGTCGTCCCGAAGAGATTACAGATATCCCACAGGACCCCGTGTTTCTCTTTCTCCTAATTCTGACAACTCCCCCTCTTGCCACTTGTCAACCTCTCTATTCAACCATTTTTTGAGGCCTTCTCAATTTCCCAGGATAATTGCCCCAGTGGACAACCAGCAAGGATTTCTACCCAGGATTAACCGGACATTTTCCAAGGACTTTTTGCTATTTGCGACCAGGATTCTCTTCTGGCCACTTCCCAAGGATCGTATCTCGTTTTCTGCTTGTCCTGAAATCGAGGAAACAAATCATTCAGTTGTGATTGTCGGCTTTTGGAACCTGTTCGTCGCCTGATAGAATCTGTACATCCTACAATAAAAACGGACTCATCACCATCAACTTTCCCAGGACTCTCAAACCATCTACCACACGGACTTCCCTCTTCTCTGGCCCTTTGGATCCCGAGGACTTTAAATTTTTAAACCGGATATTTTCCTCCCTCGGAATACATTATGACAGGCCGCTATGAGGGACGCCCGGAGCGTCAGAATGAATATTTCATCCCCGGTGACGGAATCAGCCGAGAGGTTATTCAAGCAGATATTTGCCGCTACCTTGGAAACGATGCCCTCGTGAGGCCTGGCAACCACAATGTTCGTCTTCCGCTTTTGACCTGATGACTCACAAGGCCGTTTTGACTAACCATGAGCAGGGTCGCCCAGGATTCTTCATCCGTGCCTATCGGAATCTCACATCTGTAAGTGAAATTGGAAATGCAACAACAAGCTGGATAAGTCAAGATGGGATTC